AATAACCAAAGCTTGGCTTTCTGATCTTTGTCACTCCGCCTGACAGTTTTATTTGTGGCCAAGAAGTGTATGAAATTCTCCAGCTACCAGGAAGTCAGTGACTGTGCACGGATCTGCACAATGGTGTTTGCATTCTTCCTCCAGGGGGTAGAAATGCTGCGTATATTATCCCCTCTCTCAGCTTCTTAGAGATCATTAATCACTGGGACATGACATCCACCTACTCACGCTCTCAGCCCCCTCCTGATATGCAAATGTGAAAGCAAACAACTGTTTAGCACCACTGAAAGCCTTGATTAAAATCTTGTTAGTTGGCAAACATGGCATTTACTTTAATGCATACAATAATTTAAAGAGTCCTTCAAATATTTTAAGTGACATGATGGATAGCACCACTATAAGATATATAAGCTTCTCATATGCATCCTGTTAGAAACAGGGAGGAATAAAAAGTATTCTATAATTTAAAGGCAACCAATTTATATTTTTAAAAGTCATTTGTCCCTTATTTTTCCCCTTAAAATGATTTCTAAATGTAAATGTAATTTAAACATATATATCCAATTTCCCAAAAATATATATTTAGGTTTCTATTCACCATCTATTAAAACTAAATCCATGTCCATCTAACAAGCACACATAATTAGAACTTGCTTTTCTATGTAGAAGAATGAATAAAGCAAAAAGTATATGCCTAAGAAGCTCTCTGGGGTCTCAGGTAGACTTCTCCATCCCCTGCTACTTTTAAAGGTCAAGAATTCAACTTATGATAAAATGGCATGTACAGTGGTACCTCTGGATGCGAATGGGATCCATTCCGGAGCCCCGTTCGCATCCAAAGCAGAACGCAACCCGCGTCTGCGTGGGCCGCGATTTGCTGCTTCTGTGCATGCGTGTGACATCATTTTGAGCGTCTGCGCATGCGTGAGCGGCGAAACCTGGAAGTAACACGTTCTGTTATTTCCGGATCACCACGGAGCGCAACCTGAAAACGCTCAACCTGAAGCGACTTTAACCTGAGGTATGACTGTATTGTCCTTCTTTTTGAAAATGTTGAATTTTCAGGCTAGGCCAATAAAATAGAATAGATATTTGCTTTCTATGTCATGCACACACTATTCTGAAATAAATATCAGTTTTTGCATATAGAAAATTCTACTTCAAGCGGTTCTTTAGTTGCTTAAATATAAAGGTAAGGGACCCCTGACCATTAGGTCCAGTCGCGGACAACTCTAGGGTTGCGGCGCTCATTTCGCTTTACTGGCCGAGGTAGCCGGTGTACAGCTTCCGGGTCATGTGGCCAGCATGACTAAGCCGCTTCTGGCAAACCAGAGCAGCGCACGGAAACACCGTTTACCTTCCTGCCAGAGTGGTACCTATTTATCTACTTGCACTTTGACGTGCTTTCAAACTGCTAGGTTGGCAGGAACTGGGACCGAGAAACGGGAGCTCATCCTGTCGCGGGGATTCGAACCGCCTACCTTCTGATCGGCAAGTCCTAGGCTCTATGGTAGCACAGCACCACCCGCTCTTACATGGGTATAAATTTTTAATTTCACAATTGCACTCATAAGTAGTTGAGGGCTGCATAATCAAGGGTGTGGATTGTGTTACTGGACAGTGAAAATGTTCTGGGTTGTATCTGAGTAAATCATTGTGTATGTCTGGGGCAGGCAACCTAAGGCCCGGGGGCCCAATCGCCTTCTCAATCCGGCCTGTGGACGCGTGTTTTTATGGGAGTAGAATGTATCCTTTTATTTTAAATGCATCTGTGGGTTATTTGTAGGGCTTGCCTGGTGTTTTTACATGAGTAGAACGTGTGCTTTTATTTAAAATGCATCTCTGGGTTATTTGTGGGGCATAGGAACGCGTTCATTTCCCCCCAAAAAATATTGTCTGGCCCACCACATGGTCTGAGGGACGGTGGACCACCCCACAGTTTAAAAAGGTTGCTGACCCCTGGTGTATGTGGAACACAGTCTGCGAGTGCAATAGAACTTCCCTGCTCTCCTCCTATATGATCCCCAATCCTCTGGAGCAATTTGGGGTGGGTGAATTGGGGACAACATTTGTAAACAAAAAATTAAATTGTTATAACCACCAATAAATTTATTTGATAAAACCAACCCTTCTCTTTGGCAACTTTGATACACTTCTGTTAAGAGACCTAAATCTTCCATGCATAGAGAGTGAAGCAGTTCTGTGCTCTCTCACCCCTCTGCCCACATTAACATTTTTGTTCGAGCACAGGACTATACCACAAATAAGCCTCCATCCATCTTATATAATTCATTGGGTTGACAAGGCTGATCATTTGCATGCTAACCACAATGAGTCAAATATCTGTGTGTTCATTATAAAGTTTGCAGTCCTCCATGGTTGTAAAGAAACCCACCGCAAAAATTTTTTAGATTTTAGATTGCTTTTCCACCTTATAGGCCTTCAAAGGAATACATAGAAAACAAAATAAAAATACTAAAGTACAAACCATTTTGTGCTCAAAGCAGTTTACTAAAATAAGCAGTCTGTAATAGAGTCACAGTAACTTTTTATGGTTATGTACTTCAATACTAACAATTAACAGACCATTCAAAAATACATCAGAAGCAAGCATAAAATTTCAGTTCAGACAGTTGCTCTTGAACAAAAGTGTGGAGTAAGTACTACTTATACTTCCTAAATAAAAAAGGCAGGTGTGTCATCACATCAGAACTAATGTTATTTCTGCCATTAAATTTTCAAAGAGCAAGGAGCATCCCCTCACCAAATCTCATGGAAACACCTGGTAGGACATGTAGTTGTCTAGGTATTCTGCAGTCATGAGCCTTCCTGACAGCTTGAGCTTAGCGAGCATGAAGCACAGTGATTTTGACCAAAAAGAAAACGAGCATTGGCAAAAAGAAAATTGCCTCCTCCAGGATATATTAACAGGTCTACATGTTTCAGGATGATATAGAACAGGGACATAACAGAACAAGCAGAGAAACACCTGGCCTTTTTAGCCAAAGAAGGTCCAAATGAAGAAATATCAAGTCATGTGAGAGCCAAATATAAATCTTAAAACGGCTACACACTACTACTACAGCACCAACCACTGGATAGTACCAAACAGGAGAGAATCCTAAAGGGTTTGTTATCCCACGGCCTGTTCAGATGTTACTCCCCGTCCTCACCTTCAAGCAAGATGAACCTTGAGGTTGTGTTCATTCTCTGTCAGCAGGTGTAGGGGTGTGTGTGTGTGTGTGTGTGTGTGTGTGTGTTTTAGATACCCAGGTCAAGAGAGACCAAGTGTTCAAATGATGGTTTGGGCATCACCCTCTATATGCACAGGAACAAGGAGCAGAGATGCAGTGCATGAGTTTGAGGACTGTCCCTGAACTCACCACGTAGGGGAAGAGCAAAGTAATGCCTGAACAGGTCTTAAGGTAGATATGAGCAGGTAAGGAAACAGCACAAAACAACATGGTAGTGTGGCTGCAGCTGTTAAATGCCTAACATAAGGGATCAGGCAGAGCTAGGCGTTAGCAAGATAAAGAAACTCACCTTTGGCAGGCTTTGCTTCAGGTTATGCTCTTAATGCCAAGGCCAACCCACAAATGTTTTGAGATATTGGCAGGGAAGAAGGGAAACAAGTGAGCAATTAATTAGGTTCTAGGTATCTCAATGGTACCTGGTACAGAAGGCCACTGTTTATTTAGATCAGCTGCTGGAAACCATGGGGTTGGGGTGGGAAGCGGGGGGGGGTGTGCTCTTGTGCTCGAATCCTGCTTGTGGGTTTCCTACAGTCACCTGGTGGGTCACTTAGAGAACAGAATGTTGGACTAGGTGGGCCACTGGCCCGGCCCAGCAGGCTCTTATGTTCTTGCTTACAGCAGATTCTGACTTTTACTTGAAGTACCATACATACATATGCAGGCTCAGAGCTTGAGGACCAAAGTATTAAGGGGAATGCTTGTGTGCCCATACACAAATGACTTGACTGTGCTAGCTATGGTTATTGACTCCAGAACCAGAATTCTTACCAGACTGTGCCTTAAGCAGCAGCCCGACGCCCCCACCCCACAAACCTATCTATCCTTAAGGCCAATTTACTCAGGTGAGCCCTTCCACCATTTTGTCAAGGCTAAAGAATCATAGAATTGGAAAGGACACAGAGGATCATCTAGTCCAACCCCCTGCAATGCAGGAATCTCAACTAAAGCATCCATGACAGATGGCTATCCAGCCTCTGCTTAAAAACCTCTAATGAAGGAGAGTCCACCACTGGAAGCCATGTGCTGGTCCAGTGTACAAAGGAAAATCTGCAGTAGCAGGTACAGGGCCACACAACACAGTCTTATATTTCCAGAGTTTTTGAATCAAAATTTAATTTTCCATTTAATATGTACAACAGAGTAAAAAGCTTTCAAATATCCTCTAACACAATGTTGTATCTTAAGATCCACACTTTTACTTAGATTCACCACCGTGCTTCAGGAAGGATGGAAATTAATCCTGGCTTAGACAATAAGTATCCAGTGCCAAGAAAAAAAAACAAATCATCAACCTTTCTGGGCTTTCAGTTACATCCTTTCTCCAGCAGAGGTAATCCACTTCACTTCTCTGCACACATGTACACACTTGTTAGGTAAATTGTTTGATTGGCAACATGTCCAAGTGCTAAGCAAACTACTGTCATTGAACTTTCCGTAGTTGCATTTGAGGCAACTGGCAAAAGTCTTATTCCAATAATTCCGCACCAACCCTAATGTTTCACTTATTCAAAGAAAAAGAAAAAGATTTTACAAGTATTTGACTTCACTTTAAAAAACATCCCAAAGGTTAACAGAGTGCTGCAAGCAAAGATGTATTAGATCAAGCAGACAAGCACTTACCCCAAGGATGGGAACTTGCGGCCTTCCAGATTTTGCTAGATGCCTGGGCCACCGGTTCCCTAACCCTGACCTAGCCAAACAAGAAGCATTTATCTCTAAAATAAATGGACCTGCAATTTCACTAACCTGTGCAACTCTTCAGTTTTGTCTTCAGTAGGACCCAGAGTTAATAAGCAGTGACGCAGAATGGCAGTCATGTAACGAAATTCATGAGAATCGTTCTGTGGACATACAAATTATGAAGAGAAACATATTTAATTATCAAAGCTGCAAATGGGGACTTCTACAAGTCCTAATTAGAACAGGGATTAAATTAAAATAAAAGGGCTGGCACGGTTCAAAACCCACATGGGTGTGTGAACTTTGCTTCATATGTTCACGTGTTTTCTCAGTCTTCGAAATAAGTAATAGAAGTAAGGCTTTAATTATTATTCATGCAAAATCATGCCGTTCTTGCCAGGTATTATTTTCTCCACAACTGAATTGGCTCTTCTTGACAGTTCTTCAAATCTGGTGTTAAAGCAAACAATTCCCCCACCGCAGCAACACTGCCTTCTTACATACATAGTAGGATCATCCACGGTTCAGTCTTGCCCTTCCCCATAGCTTCCTTGCTCTTCTCCTTACTAAGGGCCAAAACAAGATGGGGCAGAACATGCAAGAAGCAATACTGTGCCCATGGGAAGAAATAGTACGTTACTTTCATTCATTTTGCCCCACAAAGAGCAAAGTTCATTAGGTTATAGTAATGCCATAACAACTCCATTGTACTTAATCATGTAAGGTTTCACTAGAAATACTGTACGTAGTGGAAATGTGAAAAATAGGCACAGAACTACTAGCTTCATTATTCTTTTCTCCCATCAGTACAGTACAACAATACTCTCCTTTGAAACTCTTGCCCAAATTCTAATTTTGAAAATTACTACAAAAAAAAGGGGGGGGGGAAGAAAATCAAGGCCAATTCAAATTTTCTCCCTTATAGATTTCATCTTTCCATCCTGAATTATATCTGTGACACCTTGCAATTCTTTACCATTTGTAGTTAGTGTACCATTTACTTCTAGATTATTAGAAATGTAAGACAAGATTTCTTTCATAATGAACCATGCTGAATACCTTTTGGAAATGTCCACTTACAATTAAAACTTGACAGTAAAAAGTTACATACGGTGTGTTTTCTTTCACACTCAAACGGGAGTAGTACTTCTCTTTGGCATTGTTTGCAGACCAGCACACTGGAGATTAAGTTACTCCTGTTTCTTCTGGTGTGTCCACATCTCCCAAGAAGAAGTACAGTGGTACCTCGGGTTACATACGCTTCAGGTTACAGACTCAGCTAACCCAGAAATAGTACCTTGGGTTAAGAACTTTGCTTCAGGATGAGAACAGAAATCGTGCTCCGGCGGCGCAGCAGGCCCCATTAGCTAAAGTGGTGCTTCAGGTTAAGAACAGTTTCAGGTTAAGAACGGACCTCCGGAACAAATTAAGTACTTAACCCGAGGTACCACTGTACTTTTCTGCTTGGTGGTGGCGGGGCCTTTCTAGTCAGTCAAACTGCATCCAAACAATAGACAGAATAGTCTGTGCCATATAATGAAGGCACCATTATGCAACACTTAGCTAAATCATAGGTCCTATTGTCCTGGACACTTGAGCTTGGACTCCAGAAACTGGAAAATTCAATTTCAGATAAACAGATGACTCTGCTTTTGAAATTTATGCTGCATCCTGCATTGTGTTTGGGATGCTACTCCCAATCAACTGTTGCAATGACAAGGATGTAAAATTGTAGTTTCAGCTGCAATCCTCTGGCAGAGAAATAACCCTGGGCAACATATGTCAGACTCAAATCTTACCTCACTGTGTACATTCCAGCTGTCAAGAGTTACATTAAAGAGAGCTTTCAGTGCTTCGACGGCACAATCTGTCTCTTGCAGTGACAAAGGTGACATTTCCTGGTCTTCAGCTGTGATGTATTTATCTGTCCATCTTATGCTAAATGCACTTTCCAAGGCCTGAGTCAACAGTGGCAATCCCTGGAGATCATAACGCAACTGTGACCTGATATCTGTGTGCAGAAGGGAGAGGAGGAAGAGGAGACGCAAATCAAAGCATTTAATGTCTTCGACAAATTGTTGATCCTTGCATTTTTTCAGGAGATTGCAAAGCATAGCTGCCAGGTTCAGTTCCAGACTGAGTTTCTGTGCGGCCGGACTATTAAAAACAATGTTGCAAAGGCATTTTAAAGCTTCCACTATGACAGGGAAATCTGTCACATCTTCCAAAGAATCCTCCATAGTGTCCAGCTTTGCCAGCTTCATCAAGATCTCCATATTTTTCTTTGTTGTTACAGGAACCAATACTTTTTTGTCTCTTGAGAGTATGCGGAGAGCCTCCAGGCAAATGACTTTACAGGATGTTTTTATATCTTTGTCCAGTAAAAGCAATATTCCTTCACATAGTTGCTGAACATACAGGAAAAAAGGAATGAGATTTTACCATTCTGCCCTGCAATGTAACACACCCATAACCCATCCCCACCTCTGATTTGTCATAGAGTATCAATGCTATTAAAAATATTTTAGCTTCAGCTTATCGTGTGCTATGTGGCTCACAGTTTGTGAAATTATATCAAAGGAAGGCTGCACCAATCAGAACTAGATTATGTCTGATTTGGTCAACAAATAGGTTCAAATAAAAATAGTACAACTTGGCTTTTCTCTAGCATATCAATTGCTGGCTCTGATCTAAAGCATCAAAATACAGGAATGTCTTCAGTTGTGCCACAGAAAGTATAGGATGCTTCTGGATAGGAGGATATAACCACAGGAACTCAGTTTTTTAAGTAAAAAGCAAGTTGCACCCATGCATATAGCTGTGGGCCCATTGGATTACAGTAACTACTCTACTACGACTACTGATGCATCCTTTAACTTAGGTTAAAAAAACAAACAAAATATTTTATTTAACGAAATTTATATACCACCACATTATAAAATGGTTATCAAATCAAGTAGTTTATTTTTAAATTACCATTTTTAGACTGCCTCTTAGGGTACTGTTCTCACAAACTTGCAACTATATGGCACAAACCTACAGCATTTATGTACAAATCATGGTCAAGTTCAAGGGCTGATGACCATATTAGAGCTCTACAAAGCTGTATAGTAGCTTGTGTCATTTTCAAGTAACAGTGCCAGGTTGCTAACAAATGTAAGCATAGTGTGTACTCCGTACAACAAAGATAATTTCTGAGACATGAGAAAATTCTCTCTTCAACATTTATCACCTACGCAGCTGAACTTTCTATTATTTACTCGGTGCACAAACTCAGACATTGATTTGTGTTAGGTTCATAAATGCTTAATAAGAGATTAGAAATAAAGCAACAAGTATCACTCTAAAACCAGTGAGTACTATGTTGGCCAGAGAGCATTCTGCTATCAACTCCAAATCCATTACCGAAACAGATCAGATAAAGGCATGCAGGAATGCAGAACCCCCATGGGGTTGTCCAAATGCAGTTTCCCACATATACCAAAGTAAGATACTTCATCTAGCCATTCTGGAATTGCAAAGATCTTACTGAACCTTGCAGCCATTTTGTTTTCATCGATGTAGAGACCAAACAATACAGAAAGGACTGTTTTGTGGAAGCTTCCACTGAAAATTCTACATGGTGGGGTTTTTTTTGCTTTGGAAACACTTAGGAAACACAAAGAGCAGGGAAGCAAAACAAAAAACACCCTACAAAATTGCCCAGCCAGAAAAAAGTGTCACGTACCACACTACACAGGGCCACTGGCAGCCCCTAGTATTTTAGTCTCCTTGGGGATTATTTACTAAAGTACATGATGTTCCTAGCCTCCCGAACAAATAATAATTGGCATCATGTCATGCTTCCTTCTCCTGGCCTGGCCTTAAGATTTTGCAGTTCATTATGTCTTTTGACCCAGGGTCTTCTCAATTTTAAATTCTCAGTTGATTTTAATTAAGCCCTCCCTAGGGGGCTCATGAGATAGGCATGTTCTTAATTTATTGAATTCAATTGAGTTCTGAAGCCTTTCATTGGTCAGAATGACTATAATCAAGTCAATGAGAACTCTGGGAATAAAGTAGTCCATAAATAAGCTGGAATCTCTGTCTAGTTACTCTATAATTCTCACACCACTCTTGTATGGGCTAATAGCATTCCTACTGTTGCCTATGCAGGATAAAGAGGCTAGTTAAAATCTGACCTGAAAATAGCCCCTGAGAATAGGGTGGGGAAGGGAGGCAAAACATCCTATTCTGCCAAACACAGACCAGCAAGTTGTTGTGCCGTGCAAACTGTAGCTGGCAATTGTCCATAACAAGCCACACCTACACAAACATCACCTAATATATCTGACAAAGTGAAAGTTTATACCACAAAACACGTAAGTCTCTATGATGCAGGAGGATTCTAGATATTTCCGGAATTGCCCAGCTACACACAATATGGATAGCAGCTGCTGCCAAAGCAGGTGTGCAGAGGGTATCCAACATGGTGACCTCCAATTCCCATCAACCACAGACAACATGGTGAATGACCAGGGATGGTGGGAAATTGTGATCTAAAATAACAGCCAACACCCAGCTAACACTGGCCTAAGATATATTAAAGAGAGAGAAATTCATTAATCTACTACGACAAGCAGGAAAGGTGGGTTTTGTTGACCCCTGGTGCCACTGAAACCACGGCACCTTAATTTAAGCTGCATGCTAGTGATTTAGAATCTAATAATAGAGTCCACTGTCAAATATTTTTGCATGCTGTGCTCCTGGGGTGGCTAAATTGGAGAGGCGGGGGGAGTATTCAGAGCATGAGAATGGAACATGACACGGTAAGAAGGCACATCACATCGTGTGGAGCCCTACACGGATAATTTGTTCCTGCTACCTATGGTTAGCAAAACACAATTTCGGGTTGGGGAAAAAATATTAACACTTTTTTCTTATCTGCATTGTTTAGGGGTTCTTTTGTCAGCATAGTATGATACTGGTGAAGACAACAAGGACAAACGTTTTAGTCATGGAGAAAATGAATTATGCTGAATAACTTAGTGACTAGAACAGCCAGCAATTAAGGATTTAAAAGAACAGAATTTGAACCACCCCTATTAAGTTGCAGATTAAGTTCATTTAGTGAGTCAGTGAATTATACGCCTTGCCTCCATATTGTTCCAGACTGCCAGCATTCTCAGGGAGCCATAAGTCATCTCTTTACACTCAGTTCTTGTTTTTAGCGTTTATTTTCCCAATTACTTTCATTTCCCCACCTTAAGGCAAAAGCAATCAGGCCTAGACAATCAGCGTTCACCTATCTTTTAAGAATCTGATATGTACTTATTACAGTTAGAAGACAGCTTGTAATATGTGGGGTTTTTTTAAAGCATGTTCTCCAGAGAAACCCCTGATTGCATTGCAACTGATGACTCATCTACTGTGGCGAGGGGGGTGGGCAGAGAGAAGGGAGAAGAGCAGACTCTGAGGAACAACAAAAAGGTCTCTAATGCATTAGGCAGTAATTATACATACACTAGCAGTGCCAAAAAGGCTCCTTTATCAACCAACAGTACTAGCGCTTATGTGAAATTTGCAGGTGAATATTATTCACTCATTCACCTGCATCTTCCACTGACTTTAGGTATACTATGGTGTCTCCCCATGTGACCCATAATCTAGATGTGCTGAAGTAGAGATGAAAAACCAGTTGCCCTCCAGTTGCACCCATCATCGCTGACAAGTGGCCATGTTGGGCGTTCTAGACCAGCAACATCTGGGGTAACCCAGCCAGATGGGCGGGGAATAATAATAATAATAATAATAATAATAATAATAATCTGGGGACCACAGATTTTCACATCCCTGCCCTAAAGAGAGACTACGGTGAACAGGCAACCCAAGGCGAAATTTAGAAAATTCTTGGCGGTAAAAGAGTGGATACGGACATCTCCATGAACTAGCAAATTACCATTGTAACAAATTAGAAAGCTACTTGTCTATATCATTGTTAAACTTCACCACAAATAAGGTGAAAAGGCGGAGTCACTATCATGACCCATGAAGCCTTTTTCCCCCAAAGAAAGTGTACTGTCACAAACATAACTCATCATCTCTTAAATCCAAATAGTTGTACGAATACATCTTCTAAAGTAAAATAAAATGATCAATTCACATTAACAACAGATGTACGCATTGGGAGAACTGATATGAAATGTTAATTCTTTAAAGAAGTGGCAACTATGTCTCTTCCTATTTTAAGAAGGAAAAGATTTTACCTTCTTGCCCATTTCCCCACAGCTTTCAACTGTTATATTGTTGATCGGAAGGAACAAATTTACTACTAGTGCAATCAGAGTATATAAAACATGATAATATAGTTATCTGTATAATTTCACATGCAAAAATAAGCCCTTCTATACATATTAATGCTTATTTTCTGGATTCATTGCAATTTGGAAGGTGTGACTTTTAAAAAGCCCAAAATTACTAATGTCCAACAATGAATATTGTTTTGAATTTCAGCAACTTCGTGTTTACAAATTATGATACCAAAAAAAGGTGAAACCTATATATACACAAACAAAAAAGGGGGCTGATTCCACACTGACATCTTCTAATCTAAGGGAACAGAACGCCTGCTGATGGTACAATGCCACTGTAGCACTAGCTGCTTTCGCTTCTGTATCACACTTTTGGCTCAGGTTAAGCTTGTGGTCTACTAAGATCCCTATATCCTTTTCACATGTACTACTGTCAATACAGGTGTTCCCCACCTTATATCTGTGAAGCTGGTTTTTCCCTGCCTACATTTGCAGCTATAGAAATCCTTTTTCTTTCTTTCTTTCTTTCTTTTTAGTTTAGACCAAGTTCTCTAATCTGTTAAAGTCATATTGAAACCAGATTCTGTCTTTAGCAGCATTGGCTACCCCTCCTAGCTTGGTGTCGTCTGCAAATTTGATGAGCATTTCCTCAATACCTTCATCCAAGTCATTTATAAAGATGTTGAACAACAACAGGCCCAGGCCCAAGTTTGATTTTAAGTTATTAAATTCAACAAACCTCAAATATACACAACAGAAACAACCCTAAGTATAATGGTCGCCAACAAATCCTGGCATTGTTATAACAGACGCAAAGCAGGGAGAGGAAAAGCAGACTACCTATAGCCTGTAAGAACCCTATAACTCAATGTACCATGAAGAAACACCCCCGCACGCCTGTTTCTGTGATTCTTACCTTTCTTTTCTCTTCATCTGTTGCTTCAAATTTGAAGGTTGACCTATTCTGAAAAAAACAAAAATCCATTCTTCAAAACGTTTTAATAGTCCTCATACAAGCTTTCTGATTTTGCCAGAAAATGCTTTATCATCCCCTCAGAGGCTAACCTTAGGGTGTCAACAGTGCAACTCTAAGCACATTTACTCAGAAGTTAGTTCCACTGAGCTCAGTGGGGCTTACTCCCTAGTATGTGCGTTTAGGTTTGAACTCTAATAGTATTATTATCAGATACTCAATTTATTAGCAAAGTGATGCTTGCCAAAACTATAGGTATACCACTTGCTAAGATGGCCTTTAATCACATTACACCGATCCAGCTATTATCTTTAAAGCCCTAAATGGCTTAGGACAGGGGGCACCAGTTAATTCCTCTTCTGCCAGGCTTTTGGCTAATTAAACAATCTATGTATGACCTTTTCAACTGTGTGGGAAGAATTATTTTTTATGTTTTTATATTGTAAACCCCCACCTCCTCTGTGATCCTTGGATGAAGGGTGGTATTGAAATTTATTAAAGAAAGAAAAGAAAAACAAAAAGTCCCTGGGAAATTTTCTGGGAAATTTATGAGAGACGGTTTGCGTGTCCTGCTCAGTTCCTGTTTGCACTGGCTCAGCTTCTCCTATGTTGAAACCATTATACCACACCCCTTCGGCAGTCAATTTTTGTGACATATACCCACCCCAACCTCCCAAAATTCCAAATGTGGCCCCTGGTCTTAAAAGACTGGAGGCCCCTGGCTTAGAAGGATATTTTAAGGATCACTTCCTCCTATCCTGCTTGCTCCCGGAGATCCGAAGGAGAGGCCCTTTACTGCCCTGCTCAGGATGAATGCACAGCTGGACCAGAACAAGAGAGAGGGCCTTTAAACATGGTGCATAAGGAGCCTGACAATTTGACCTCCATATAGAAATGTAAAACTACTAAACACGTATCTTTATCTCCTGGTATGGGCTGCAACCTGAAATCTGAACCCAGATATAATACACTTTGAATATAATACACACCTATCAAGAAATAAATATTTCAACCAGTCGGCTTTAGATCAGACATTTTAATTACCTTTGCAATACACTAGAATGCAATGTAGATCAGTGGAACAATGTTGCTATAGCTGGCACTCCAGTAACTAAGCAACCAGCTTGGTGGGCCAACTGAAGCTTCAAAGGTAACCTTGCTTAGAGCATTCAACTCAAAGCAGCATGGATGCTTAATGGATCAATCCACAGCACAAGGGGGGGGGGGACAGGGGACTATGACAGCTGTCTAATCTAGCTAACAGGAAATACTACATAATAATAATCTAACTAACAGGAAATACTACAAATTTGGGGGAGGGAGCTTCTAGTAGCCACAACACTGTAGGAAGATAGCCATTATTTTAATGTACCTTGGTGTTCTTTTTTTAAGCATTCCTTGTTTCCAAACCTCCTCATGCTATAATACGTGCCCTTTAGTCTACCCAGAGATGTGCATAGCTATGGCCACACATATTTGCTACAACACACTCTTTGAACTTGTTACGGATCTTTGCATTATTATACAACCATTTAAGAAAGGGAAGAGACCATTATACTAAAGAAAAGAAAAGAAATAATAACATCTGTTAGGAAGGTGTGCATTCTGTTGGGGTCATTATCAGATTTGAAGATGACTGGAAAACATAAAAAGAACCTATTTAAATAAATATAAGAGAAACTGCAGGCTGCTGATGGTGGTGACAGGGGAAGGAGGGCAAGTATAATTAGGATTACCTACAATACGAAACACAGTAGATTAGACAAATAATGCTTCCCACAGGGAAAGAAATGCTAACACTGCACAGAGCTGCTGCTAATAATAATAATAATAATAATAATAATAATAATACAGTATATTAGTTATACCCTACCCATCTGGCTGGGTTTCCCCAGACACTCTGGGCGACTTCCAGCAAAATATTAAGATACTGGGGTAAATGCTTTTTATTGATTTTCAAAACAAAACAAAATCAAATATTTATTTAATTATTTAATTATTAAATTTTGTTTTGTTTCAGATTGGATAGATTTGGCAAAGATCTGCTCACAGCCACGAAGGGGGCACCGAGGACCCAATTCTTCTGGGAAGCGAGTGCCAAATGCAGCCTAAATGCCCTATGGCCAGAGGAGAGCTGTTAGTGGGGGGAAGGTTCCGAATCGCTTCGGAGACCCAAGAACGGGGCCTCCCGGTGCTCCGCCAGTAGCAGCCCACCGGGAAAAGCAGCGCGAGGACGAGGGTCCCGCCCCTCCCTCCGCATTCCAACGGACCACCCGGCGCGGCGCCGCTCCGAGGGGCCCCCGGCGAGAGAAGGGTGGGCGTTCTCCTGAGGGGCCATGAGCAAGGAAAGGCGCTCCGAGGCGGGGCGAGCCCAGCCGGCTGCCTCGTCGTTACCTGCTCATTGAAGCGACTCAGGTCCCTCTCGGCCCCGCCGCCGCGCCCACCGACCGCCGCCAGCGCCGCTTCCAACGCCATCCCTGAAGCAGGGCGCGGCCAGGCAGCCCCTCCCGCCTCTTCTGCTCCGCTGCCGCCTCCTCCTCCCCCTCCTCCCTCGCCGGCGCGCGGCAGCTTCAACGGCAACAGCCTCCGCGGCCGCCTCCCCTGACCCTTCTACCTTTCACCTCAGATTACGCCACGCGCAGTGGGAGAAGCAGCAGCAGCAAGCCCCGCCCCGCGGAGAGCAGTGTTAGCCCCTCGATTGGCTGGCAGAGGGCCGAGTGGGCGGGCGGCTCACTTGCTATTGGCTGGATTCTGTTTACCTCGGGGAGCGCTTCGCCGAGGCGGCTCTTTAGAGAAGACTACATTTCCCGAGGAGCTTTGCAAACCCTCCGGCGGAGCGCAGTGCATGGTGGGGCTCCTTGGCTAGCTACTGGTTAGGGCGCGGTCATCTTTGACAAAAGAATCTCTTACGGGAGGCTTGTCTCGTTGACTGACGTTGTTGTTCTAGGGTTGGCGGACCAGTTTAAACTCTTGTTGTTTAGTCGTTTAGTCGCGTCCGACTCTTCATGACCCCATGGACCAGAGCAGGCCAGGCACTTCTGTCTTCCACTGCCTCCCGTAGTTTGGTCAAACTCATGTTTGTAGCTTCGAGAACACTGTCCCACCACCTTGTCCTCTCTCGTCCCCTTCTCCTTGTGCCCTCCATCTTTCCCAACATCAGGGTCTTTTCCAGGGAGTCTTCTCTTCTCACGAGGTGGCCAAAGTATTGGAGCCTCAGCTTCAGGATCTGTCCTTCCAGTGAGCACTCAGGGCTGATTTCCTTAAGAATGGAGAGGTTTGATCTTCTTGCAGCCCATGGGACTCTCAAGAGTCTCCTCCAGCACCATAATTCAAAAGCATCAATTCTTCGGCGATCAGCCTTCTTTATGTTCCAGCTCTCACTTCCATACATCACTACTGGGAAAACCATAGCTTTTACTATATGGACCTTTGTCGGCAAGGTGATGTCTCTGCTTTTTAAGATGCTGTCTAGGTTTGTCATTGCTTTAGTGCAGTTCTGTACAGTGGTACCTTGGGTTACATACGCTTCAGGTTACAGCCTCCGTTAACCCAGAAATATTACCTCAGGTTAAGAACTGTGCTTCAGGATGAGAACAGAAATCGTGCTCCGGCGGCACGGCAGCAGCAGGAGGCCCCATTAGCTAAAGTGGTGCTTCAGGTTAAGAGCAGTTTCAGGTTAAGAACAGACCTCGGGAACGAATTAAGTACTTAACCTGAGGTACCACTGTATGTGTCTTCAGAAGAAAGGAGGGAAACCCTCATTGATTTCAATATCACCTACACACTGGCAAGTGTATGTCGGATGGCAGGCTACGTAAGAAGTGCTTTGCAGCAGGCAGTGCCTCCGCCTAGTTGCACACCTTTGCACCCATATTGCACCTTCCTAGCCGCTTTCAGTGAGATTTGGACTGGCCTTATCATAAGCACCCAAGAGCCTTGTTCGATCAGGCCAATGCCCCATCTCGTCCAGCAGCCTGCTCCCACAGTGGCCAACCAGATGCCTATAGGAAACCAGCAAGCAAGTTCCCAGCCCAAGAGCGGTCTTCCCTCACGTGGTTTCCAGCAACTGATATATGGAAACATTGCTGTCTGCAGCTGCAGAGGTAGAGCACAGCCATCAAAACAACATTTGCCCTTAACTACAATACAGTCCCTCAGTAAATTTAATTTATAGCATAACCCCTCATACCAATATTTTTAAAAATCAAACATAAAAGAGCCTACTGGCTAATGTATGGGCTTACAATCTACAATTTGAATACTGAAAAATATTCACTTTACTTTCTGAATGACCATGGGAAATCTTGCCACTCAATCCTCCTAATTTGATAGAAGGAAAACAATTCACAGAATTCCCAAAAGTAATCCAAGTAAGTCCTCAAACTTTTTTGGGTATTAGTCCTTAGATTCAGTGGCCTGGTTCACACATCTTGCTAAGCCAAAACCATGGCATGCAGGCTCCCAAAGTGGAATTTAGAGCCTCCCATCTTTTTGCTGCTGTGCTGAGCTGAACTAAGCCTTATTCAGCTGTGTACAGGCTATAGCTTTAAAGCACATTTTGAAACACAGTCTCAATTCCCAACAACCCTTAGCAAACACTGCTTTGATGCCCTCAAGCTGTGAAGCAGTTTATAAATTTGTACAATAAATAAATAAAAACAGTTAGCTTTAGCTCAGCTTCTGAAAGCAGTTTTGTGTCATTTGGAATTGCTGAACTGGGGAAAGTCAGGGGTCATTTTGGTCAAAGGAGAATAACTTCAAAGCCAGAGGTAGACTGTCCCCACCACCCACCCACAAATGCTCCAGAGCCTGGAGACCTGATGCAAGTGGGAATGGGAGTAAACAGTAGGGGCATCTTATCACAGTTCTTTGAGAGACTGGTTGCATATAGAGGAATGGTGGAAGGAACCAGCTGGGGAACCACCAAGGAAAGAAGGCTCAGAGCAGTGGTGGGACAATGATAAGTGGTCACAGGGAGAAGATGGGGAAGAGGAGGTGTCAGAAACTGAAGGGGGGGGTAACAGGGCATAGTGAGCTGGGAGAGCCTGTGCCAGAGAAGTCCAGAATCAGAGACAGAGGATAAAGCAAGTGAGGAGGGAGGCCAAGAGGCAGGTATGAGTCAGGCTGCTGAAAAGTCATGGGTGTCTCCCCCTCCGACTGCAAAAAGCTCCCCTCCCCCCTTGTTTCCTAGAATCAGAAGCATGAAAAGGACGGAGGAGAGATTGATGTCAATGTGCAGACTCAGTCTCTGATTGCTTGGGGGGAAACCCTGGAGACGAGGGGTGGGATGAGGCACAGAGAGAGCTTGAGGTGAAAGGAGAATGGGAAACAATGGATTGTATCTAAGATAGCATGAGTAACTCACCCTGTCATCTCAAGGATTTACACTTGTGCAGTGAAACTTCCCTCTCTCTTTTCCCTATCCATGTGTCCCCTAAATCTGTTCCTGGGGGTCACCTCAACTCTTCACAATTAGTGAGAGTGCAGGGGAAAGTTCCTTTGGGCATTAATCTTTGCACTAATGATACATCTTAGTTGGATACCACCATTTCCTCCCTGTAAATCTCAAGTCCTTAAATTATCTAAGATCCAAGCCTAATTTAGGGCAATTTTTGCAAATCAGTTTACCTGCTGTCCCCTGGAACACGATTTGGGAATTGGTCTACATTGTGGAAACCACCTCACACATCACCAGCTTGCAACTCAAACTTTCTCCTATTAATCAAGCTAAGAACCTTGATTTCATTTTGGGGGGATTGTTTTTATTATTTAAGTGTGAAAATCCTTCATATACCTTGGGTAACAAATAACACATTTCCATTTTAACCATAAACACGGTTATCACCACTGTCGAGTGCTATCAAATATTTTATTTACAAAACAATTATTAAAATGCCTGATGTCATATTTCCATGTAATTATATCTTACCCATAGGGTAATAAGTCCACCATAATTGCTTGCTGCTTTTTCTTTTTTATATATATAATACAGAAGCAAAAAACCCCTATGTTAATAATTTTCTACAAACAAACAAAAAAAATTGACAAAGAGCTATGAATCTGACAAAAAATACCAACGGGAAACCCCCCCCAAATACAATAATTTCCCGCACACACATACATAACACAGCATAGGTTCAAAGGCACAACTTTGAGTTCTGTACAAGTGTATGGAATTGTCCTGGCAAGAAAGCTGGGAATGAAGTTCATTTTAAGCTGTAGGTAAGTAGAGGATTTGTTTAGGTGTGTATGTGTTGCATTGCAACTCTCACACATTTGTGCAGTTTGACAATACTGATCATGAGGTTTCCTGTGTGTCATTAGGCTGGCTGCAAAAATACTTGTCCCCCCACACAGAGAAGTGTTCCCCAAAGAAGCTTGTATAGGCTTTCCCTCTTCCCAGCTGCTACCCTGCTGGGTGCATCTAGACCAAGATGTTCAGTCCATGAGACCCTTCCAAAGTTCCAGCATCTTACTCTCTCCTAGACCTCTGGACCGGTTCACAGACAACTCATAGGGAAGGCAGGAATAGAGATGTGTGTGGGGACTTAGAGAAGCTCAATCTCTGGGATATTCCCAAGGATGTGAATGTGTGGAAGGACCTCACCTTGGGGTGAGCCGCTTGGCCAATGCTACTTGCCTACTGGAATTGTGGAACTGACAACTGGGGGGAAGGTATGTTGGCAAGGCGTTCCTTGTCATTATGGGCCCATTACCTTTATGGTGATAACACAGCACAGAAACACGACCGACAAGTCAGCAATTCACCCAGTACTCTATGTCTTCCACTTTGCAAACTAACATTTATTTGATCAATAGAAAGATGTGTCATGGATACAAAGTTACATGTAAACTGGAGCCCTGCCACATCCCGTTTTACTTAAAGAGGAATCCGAGGACAACAGAAGAAGCCCAACAAAGCATCTTTAAGGAGCTATAAGTTAAAGAATGGAGGCAATAATTTGGATCCATCTGCCATTAGTTAAAAGTATGGACTGGATTTCTCACCCCAGCACATTTCCTTAAAGACCATGTAAAATTTGTGAATAAGATTAGAATGGTGGACTAAAACATGGCGCACTTAGGACGCGACTAAATCAAAAGACTGCCAAAGAGTGCTTAAGTGGGCTATCTCCTTGCTGCTCAGAAAGCTGCTTTGAGGTGTTTGAACGAACCAGGTCACATTGGCTAGCGGTGCAGGGCATGGCTTGCATTCCCCTTCACGTCACAGCTTGGCTCTATTTGGTTTGCTTCGTTCTTTGAACATACCAGGACCCCCCTGTAGCACACATCTTGCTTTCTGTACTTGCACTCTGCTTGGGAGGGGGCACAATAATTAGGGCTGTGTGTATGCTGCACTAATAATAATAACAATAATAATAATACCAAAACCTGTGCAAAGAAAACAAAACACTGTTCAATCTGAGTCCCTTATGCAAATTAATTGTATTTGCATATAGTTTCTCAATTTGCATAATTTGTTCTGAGGCTACTAATATTTAGCAAGTATATATTGTACATCAAGCGCTCAGACACTTCCCATATTATCCGTAGTCCTTACAAGGCTTGGAAAGGCAGGCTAATATCACCGCTGTCTGAGATAGGCTGGTGGAGAGAGAGTGGGTGGCCTAGTACCAGGCACAGACAAAGACCTATAAAGGCGAGGAAGGGGGCTTAAAGCACAGCACAGGCAGGAGGGACATGCTGCACCTTTCTGTCATCTGTGCAACATCCTGGACTTCTCCACAGATGTTTTTCTCCTAATGGGGCTTATTTCCAGCCTTAGCGCTCCCTGGAAGGAAAACAACAGGGAAGAGTTTCCAGGGTAGGTGGGGAACGATGGGTGGGAGCAGAATATAAACACCCCTCTCCCACACACCTATGCTGCATTTAATTCCTCAACTACCTCTCTCGCAGGAGTGTCCAAACTTTTTTCAAAGAGGGCCAGATTTGATTAAGTGAACATGCGTGAGGGCCGACCAAAGGGCCGACCAAAGTTGTTGACCTTTTCCTAGAAGTTGTTGAGCTTTTTTAGGATTTCCACCCAGGAAATAAACTGGGGTCGGATTAAACCGACCAGCGGGCTGCATTGGGCCCCTGAAACGACTTTGGACATGCCTAAAGGGACCCCTCACCATTAGGTCCAGTCGTGGCCGACTCTGGGTTTGCGGTAAATTGGGCAATGACTCAGTACTAAGGCATGGGCTTGCTGCAGTCAAGCCTACTGTGCACCTTAGTGAATTAATAGCTGAGGCCAGGTTGCAACTACCCAGTTGACACTCCTAGTGTGATGTACAAGGCATTGAAGTGTTCATTTCTGGCCTTGGGAAATCCACTTCTCCTACCTCTGAGATCTCACTGTAATTTCTCCAACACTCCCAGGCCTGCCCATTTCTCAAAGGCTAGAAACTTCTTTTTACAATCAATGAATTTTTCCCAGGATACCTATTTTCTCCACTCAATATCCATTTCTGAACTCCTGTGGTGAGATTATAGAAATGCAGACTCCATACAGCTGCGACTATAAATTGGGGCTCACAAGCAGGAAAATGGGAGGAAGATTTATCGTAATTTGGGGCAGATGTGGGTTAATGAGCGGAGGAGTTTGTATATTTAGTTCTGAGTTAGATTGGATCGTTTTCAAGTCTGTTACACCTCTGGCGTTCTCTGAGGAGCTTTGGCTCTTGTGAAGCTGGCAAATTGCAACAGCTATGTTTACGGAGCAGGAACTCAGTTCAGATACAGCAACTTTCAATGGTTAGTGTGGCTGTAACTAATTTAGGCCAATTGCATGACACCTGTAGAAAACACCATGCTTTACAGCAGCAGTAAAATCTTGCTTGGTTGGAGTAACCCACCATACTACCCCATTTGTACTCCATAGAGGGATGCGGGTCGCACTGTGATCTAAACCACTGAGCCTCTTGGGCTTGCTGATTGGAAGATCGGCAGTTTGAATCTGCACGACAGTGTGAGCACCCATTGCTTTGTCCCAGCTCCTGCCAACTTAGCAGTTCGAAAATGAAATATATTCAGAGTCCTGCAGTGATTTCATGCTCTTTATTGCAGCTTGTAAAACAGTGATTGAATTTCCCCCAAAACCTCAGGCTTTTATGTACATTATTTACACAATGAGTCCTGTCTGATTGGCTGATTCTGCTTCCCTCCTGGAGCCTGATTGGTCTTCTCCTGCAGGCCAATCAGTTGTTGCATTCTACGATCCTACCAGCCTAATAGGCAGATTAACTTCCTCCTGGAGCCTGATCGGTCTTCTCCGGTAAGCCAATCAGTTGGGTCTCATTGTGTAAATAATGTACTGTACATAAAAGCCTGAGGTTTTTGGGGAAATTCAATCACTGTTTTACAAGCTGCAATAAAGAGCATGAAATCACTGCAGGACTCAGAGTATATTTCACTGGCGATGATGGTGGGGGGCAAGCCTGGCGCCACCACTGCGATCAACTACGGCGACGATTCCTGGGGGGAAACCGCGAAGAGGGCTGGACAGAGGAATCCCAAGGGGACAGCAGAGGGGTGAGGCCTATAGAGCAGAAGGAGAAGGTAAGGGAGGCAGAACTAGGAAGTCCAGAGGTGACCCCCCGAGGCCAAGCAGCCACAGGAACCAGAGCCACGACCGAGTGGACCAGCAGCGCCACCCAACCAGCAGCCCCGGAACAAGAGCCAGAACCAGGAACCCCTACCTGCCTATTGTTCTAGGATCCAAGCTTAGCACATAACAGAAAGCATACTAGCACGAGTAGATAAATAGGTACCACTGTGGTGGGAAGGTAAACAGCGATTCCATGCACCAGAAGCGGTTTAGTCATGCTGGCCACATGACCTGGAAAGCTCTCTGTGGACAAATGTTGGCTTCCTCGGCCTGAAAGCGGAGATGAGCGCCGCACCTCATAGTTGAATTTGACTGGACTTAACAATCCAGGGGGTCCTTTACCTTTCTACTTTACTTATACTTTCGTGTCCAGGATCTTTTCAATCTTCATAGCCATTAAAAAGGCCCATGTAGGAGTTCTGTTAACCTACAAGCCAGGCATTGAAAAGTTTTTGTGTGTCTGTCTTTATTAAATATGTAAGGCTGATACTATTTACCAAGTCATTTTCATTTTGCCCATCCTGTGGTGGCTTCCCCATTGATATAGGCAAAGCCAGGAAAGTGTTGCATGTGCTCATATTCGGAATTCCTCCGTGTGGTCAACGGCGTGTAGATGTCACTGGAATTTCCATATCTCGTGGAGTGCATGGGTGGGCTTGTGTAGCAAGCATTTGCGGAGGGCACTTCCGGCCAGCGAGCAGTCACTGGGGTTGGATGCAGTCTTGGGGTGCTGCCCATCAAGCACGGCTCCATCCGGGACGACGGGCTGTTGAAGGGGTACTAGATGAAATGACATTGTAAAAATGTTAGGCACGCACACTTTTTGGAGGAAAAGAAAATGCAAGCCCTTTAATGACAAGCCTCAAAGAGGGATTCACAGATTTTGTCAGCACAGTGTCCATTTTCATGTAGCATAGTAGCATAATATAGTAGCATAACATAGTAGCATAATAGAATTGTAGAGTTGGAATTGTTGACTACGAGGGTCATCTAGTCCAACCTCCCTGAAATGCAGAAATCTCAGCTAAAGCATCCACAACAGATGGCCATCCAGCCTCTGCTTCAAAACCTCCAAGGGAGGAGAGTCCACCACGTCGCGAGGGAGACCATTCCACTGTCAAACAGCTTTTACGGTCAGAAAGTTCTTCCTGATGTTTAGCTGTAGTGTAGCTGATTATTGTCAACCAACAGCCCCTGCACTAACAAAAATCAGGTACAACAAAGCTAGCCTAAGGCATTTTAGACTAATATACTAGAATAATAGATTAATATACAATAAATCTCTACTTAACCTGTGCTGGCTCCCCATGCGATTTAGAACCCCCGATGGTACAGGGTTTCAAATTGCACAGGAAGCCAGAATGAGCAGGTCAGCCTCCCCTCTGAAGGAATTCAGTTTGAACATGTGAAAGGTTACAGGAATAAAGGCAAGGCGCATGCCCACACTCTCTGTGATCACACAACTGGAATTGCACGAGGGGGAACCACTGAATAGGGAAGAGTCTGGGTCTGGTTGTAAAGCATCGAAGGCAAGACATCTATAGAGATGCTCATAGGCAAGAACCACAAATCTACTCCTGAGCTCATCAGATGGGAGTGTGCTCAGCCCTCTGGCAGGCAGGACACCTGGCACCATAGTTTCAGACGTGGCTCCAGTCTAAGATGCAGTTCTAACCCCATTTACCCATAAGACCCATCAAGTTCAGTGCAATCCTAAACTCACTTACCCGGGAGTAGTCCCACTGAGTTCCATAGGACTTACTCCTGAGCAGATATGGTTAGGACTGCAGCCTAAGTCTATGAAGCCCTAGGCTAGCCATGGGCCACATTTCATTCGTCTCGTTGGCAGTGCCATTTGGCACAGAGAAGAACAGACTTCCTAATGCGTTGTTGGTGTGGCGTGCTGATCTGCCTTTCCACTTTTCATTAACATTCCAATGTGAGCATGCCTGACCAGAAAGGAAGGGCTAATAAATGACTGCAAAAACAGGGGGGGGGGTGACGACAGGAATACAGTGTGTTGCTTCTCTGTGTGGCCAAATACCCCCAGATGCAGCTGTGTTTATGAATGTGTCATGAATATAAAAAAGAATAATTGCTCAAAAATAATACGGACTCCCAAATATCGACTATTTTTACAATAAAATCTGTGACGGCTGAATCCCCAACATGGAAAGATTTGTAATGGTGGGTCAACTAATTGCAAATGAGTCAGTGACTTCTTTTTCCTTCCAGTGAAGAGACCATTGAGAGACAATATTTTTAAAGTCCGCCTTGGCCCCTGCCTGACTATTAGCTCTACCAATGAAGCATCTATTCAGCCTTGTTGGAGTGTCCAAAGCTTCGCCATCTGCGCGGATGCCGGCCCATGCTGCCTGAATCACCTTTCACACTTTGCATCCGGTTTAATGAAGAGTGCTTAAGCATGCTGATCTCAAAACACTGGGGCCTAGTGATCTTTGCCAGATATAAAGGCGACATTTGTTGGAGAGCCCTTCACAGGAAATTACCATTTTCTGGGTCAACTCTCTTGCCACCACCATGCTGTTGAGACCTGACAAGAAACACTAACCCCTTTAAGTTGGGGTGACTTTAAGCCGATTATTGTTAAGGCTCTTTCTCCCCCTACGCCCCAAATTAAAATTAGCTCTGTTTCTTTCCGTTATTATTTCAGAAAATACTATTTTAAGTGTCTCCTCCACCCAATGAAGCCTGAGTTCCTTCAGTTTCAGGCTGAATAATAATCCCTTTATTCTTGTCCTTCAGCTTGCCGGCTGATTATGCAAAGAGGTGAAAGGTGTCTCTGTTCAAACAGCAAAATATTTTCCTTCTGAATGCGGCTCTAACTTTATGCTGATTTTACTCATACTTTGGAAAGCGTGCTATTGCCCTTGTAATGTACATCAACATGTACTCTCAACATCTTGGTCTTGTTGTGGTGCTATAACGTGCATCCAGCCACCTTCAGAATAAAGGTCTATTAACTACATTTAAAACTGCACGGCAAAATCAGGACAGACTTAGGATAAATCTTAAATGGATGGATGCATATAAATATATTTCTGTCTCTATTGCTTCTTCGTCCCTTGTTGAAACCACTGAAAAGCATTCAAAGTGCTTTTAAAATAGTATAGACTCTAACCCACATCCATCAAAATCAATGAAAACTCTGCTGGTGACCTCAGGGTGATGTTGGATCATGATGATGTTTGCTATCTTTAGATAGTTAAGCCATGTTTAAGGCAGTTTACAACATCAGAAGACTTACAAAAATAATACAAAATTTAAGCAGCCATAAACAATACATGAAACATGCAATGAGATTACACAACTCCACATAATTCATTATTAGGCCTAGCTATAAAGATAAAAGGGACGCGGGTGGCGCTGTGGGTTAAAGCCTCAGCGCCTAGGGCTTGCCGATCGAAAGGTCGGCGGTTCGAATCCCCGTGGCGGGGTGCGCTCCCGTTGCTCGGTCCCAGCGCCTGCCAACCTAGCAGTTCGAAAGCACCTCTGGGTGCAAGTAGATAAATAGGGACCGCTTTCTAGCGGGAAGGTAAACGGCGTTCCGTGTGCTGCGCTGGCTCGCCAGATGCAGCTTGTCACGCTGGCCACGTGACCCGGAAGTGTCTCCGGACAGCGCTGGCCCCCGGCCTCTTAAGTGAGATGGGCGCACAACCCTAGAGTCTGTCAAGACTGGCCCGTACGGGCAGGGGTACCTTTACCTTTACCTTATAAAGATAAAAAACATAATATCAGTAAGTGCAAAAATTAAACACCTGCAAAATTAAATCTAGATCCCCAACAAAAACTCCTTCACAACAGTTTCTCAGCATCCTGAGCAGTGGGTCTTTTAGGATTCACAGGTGAGATGGTCTCTCTCATTGCCCAGGATCTCAATGTTTAGCCTCCTTCCTCTTTTCTATCCTTATGGATTGATGTGTATGTGGGTTACATATAGTACAGCCTTTTCAGCTTCACCAGATCTTTTTGTCCTGTGTGTCAGGACCGCTACCTGGATCTCCTCCTGAGTGCATTTAACAGCAGCCTTAACAAGACATATTTGTTGCATTTATATGCTGCCTTTCTCCCAAGGCATTTTACAATGTTAAAGCACTAAAATAAAACAAAGTTGGCCCTTCGGTGAGGAAGACATAATCTGTGTGGAGCAGGTCCTGATGTTGTCGTGGCCCAACCTCCTTTGCTCACTTGCTTATGAGCCCAGGTGGTGTGAATTAGATTGGTTCACTTAAAAATTCTCCCTCCACCGATGGGGGTAGTGATGCTTCTGAATATCAAGTGCTGGGAATCGCAAGTGGAAAGAGCACTGCTGTGCTCAGGTCTTGCCCAAATGCTTCCAATTGGCACCTTGAGAACAGGATGAAGGACTAGATGGACCTTTGGCAGGGGATCTAGCAGGGGTTTACTTACGTTCCTAAAAATGCAGGCAAAATTGACAAAATTCTTCTCCATGCCTACTTACAGATGGGAGCAGAGGATGAAGGGGACACAATCTGAGGGAAGGATCTCTTGCGCATGCCCTATTGAACTGAACGTGATGTTTTATCTCAACAAAAAGAGAGTAATTGATTTGGAAATGTAGAAATGCTAAAGTCGTAAGCTGTCTTGGGAATTCCTGCTTTTGAAAGCGGGATAAAAAAAGCTCAAATAAATAAAAATGGGGAATTCTTTACTGTCTCCCCTGTAAAAAAATAAAGGCCGTCATATTGAATCTCGGTCTATTTGAGTTGTTTGTGAAATCCTAAGCAATAATGAAAGGATCAGCACTCGGACCAAGGAACTGACCTGCGAAGAGCTTCTGTGATAAGCAGAGTAATGGAGGGGTGCGGAAATAGTGGCTTCGTGGGGAAGGGATGGATACTGGCTCTGCATTGGGTGGGGGTGCTGGTTTCCATAGCTGCCGTAGTTATAGCTCCCTGTGTACCTAAAAAGAAACAGAAGATCCTTAGCATTATATTTAAAAAAGCCTCATGTGCTACAAAGGCTGTAATCCTAACCACACTGACCTGGAAGTAAGTCTTATTGAATTTAGTAGTTCTTACTGCCATGAATAGACATGGTTAGGGTTGGCTGCAAGATACCTGCACTGCATTTTCACACCAGGGCATAGTGTAGCCTTATAGTTGTTTTGTGTTTGAGGTATTTCCTCCCTTCCCTTTCTCTTAACCATCTTTTATATTTTTCTTCTCCATGTTCAAAACATATCCATTACTATCACTTTTACTCCACTAGGACTAGGGCTTTGCCAGCTTCAGCACCACATGTGTCACGGTCCGGGTTGTAAGTGGCAGCAGTCCAGATATGACATGCTGGGATCAAGGTACGGATGGTAACAATAGTAGCAGTTTAATGGAGGACGGAAACTCGATGAGGCTGGAGCGCAGGAAAAGAAACTGGAAAAGGAGAAGGAACTGAAGGAAGGACAGGAGCGTTTAAGCAGGATCAGGAACTGGAGCAGATCAGGAGCGAAAGCAGGAACTGGCAACAGCAGGGTATAAACCACGTTGCTGTGGCAAAGAACCAGGGGAAAGATACTGCACATCTCCAGATACTGCACATCTCCTGATTTGGCCACACCTGCCAGGCCATACCCGACTCCCCCAAGACAAACACAGCAAGGGCCTGGTTCTGCAACTCCTCACTGCGCTCAGGGCATACTATTTGCAAGGTATCAACAGCAGGAGGGGGCTATTGCCTTCATCTCCTGCTTATAGGCTTCATGTAGGTATTTGGCTACTGTAGAAAACAAGATACTGGAATAGATGGAACTTTGACATGAGCAATGACATATCAGAAAGTGATCATTGATGATAATAATAATAATAATATTGATGAGGCTCTCCACAATACACACAGACATGCAACAAATCTGTCCCTTTAGACATACAGTCTAATTTAGGGTGAGCATTCGGTATATCTGATAATACAGATATTACTGTTTTCAAAAGAGATAGCTTTCTCTCTGCCCCCCCCCATACATATTTGTATCTGCTGCACCAGGAAACAAACCTGGGAATTCAAGCATGGCTGTTCAATTACTCTATTCACTGGCTATGCTGAAAAATGCAGCGGATGAACATGATGCTAAGCGACCTACCCGTGTTCTTCTCTGTGTGGATAAACAGGTATTCTGTGTGTGACGGATGAAGGAGGCACATGAGGGTTTCTCATACAAGGCAGTTGTTGAGAGTTTTCAGCAGGTGACCCAGCAGCTGTTGTTACAGTGTATGTGAGAGACCATGTATAAGACTGCATGGCCCCTGCGTAAAATAGAAAGATCCAGTTAGCATTCATGTGATTTTGTGAACCTCCACTAAAATATGCAAGCACTACAGATGTGGCAGATGCCAGGTGTGTGGGTCAACTAACTGGGATCTTGGTGCAAGCCAGTATCTTAGGATATGCAACCAGACACAAAACAGTGCCTTAGGAGATGGAGCCAATTACCTGTTGCCCCTCATGACTAGGGATGGCTGAATATACAAATTCCTGTTTCTCCCAGTTGCACATTTTTCTAATTTTGAAAATTCATCAGCATTTTAGTGCGAATTTATCTTAATCACACTTTTTTGTTTCGTTTGCCGTTTCCCATAGTGTAGACATTCGTGCAAAGCAATTTCCCCTAATGGAATGCGCTTGTGTGTATAATTTTCACTAATATGCACAGTTTGTGCTGGTATATGCATTTTTGTACACATTACTTGGCTGGATAACTGCACTTCAAAATTCAGAAAGGTGCAAATTTCGAAAGGTGGAAGGTTTTGGTTCATGCATTGTTTCAGAAAGTGCAAAATAGGTAGATTTGCCTTTAAAATATGGACTGAATTGAACATCTCCCCCTATGCCTTTTGAGGAGTGATTTCACTTCGTGACTGACATACAAATCTTAAGCACCTTTATAAGAAATGACCTTTATCTAGAAATGATTTTAGTAGAACTTACTTCCAGGTGTGCTTCTAGGATCACAACCTGTAATGTATATTGAGCCCAATTCTGCCTACTGCAAGAAGACACACTGATAAGTAGGCAGCAAAATTATTAGTTATCCATTGGTGAAGTTTTATGATTTCTATAAAGGGGTTTAGGCCCATCAAAGGACAATGAACCTGGCAAATGAGTAATCCCAGGACTTTAGAAAGCAGGGCGAGAGAACACCATATAGCCATTGCTTTTGTTCCAGAATTGATGTTGTCTGAGCAATCATTAATCGAGGCTTTGTAATTTAAAAAAGAATTAAGGCCTAATTATCCCTTTTCAGAATGCAGAAGTTCAACAAAAAGATTTAGGGGAAAAGGTTGCTGGGTCTTGCCAGATGTTTTACAACGGAGCAATTTGGCGATGGCTTGCCTTTAGGGAGTGTGCTGTCATGTAAAACTCGAGGATTTAATTGCCTTTTTGTGTGTGTCACTGATTGTCTACAGAAATTGTACTTTGCCGGGCTTTAGAGTTAACATGTATAGTTAATGCTACCAATAAGCAGCAGTGTCTTAACGGAAGCTGAAAGAAGGGAATAGCAATCTGTTAGGAATAAAATCTGATTAGCTTCCGAGTTATACAAAGGTATTCAGTTTTAAATTTACCGGAACCAATCTTAATAACGCTGACAGTTATATAATACTCGCATGCATTTAGAGTGATTCATATATGTTCTTTCAGCAAGGCTGTGTATATGTCAAACAATTAAACCACATGCCTTCCCCTAAAGAACCCTGGGGATTTTAAGTTTGTTACAGGTACTGAAAATCGCAGCTCTATGAGGGGGCTGATTACAGGATTCTTTGAAGAAGTCATGTGCTTGAAATGTATGGTGTTATGCAGCCCATTTCTTTTCCATGATGAAGCTCTCTCAGACTCAGTCAGATCAATGGTCCAACTAATCGGCATTGGCAAATCTCTGGGCCAGGCTTCTTCAACCTCGGCCCTCCAGATGTTTTTGGTCTACAACTCCCATGATCCCTAGCCGGCAGGACAAGTGGTCAGGGATGATGGGAATTGTAGTCTCAAAACATCTGGAGGGCCGAGGCTGAGGAAGCCTGCTCTGGGCAGAAGACTTTCTCAGTGCTGCTACCCATTAAGTGGTGATGCCAGGAGTGATTGCATATGGGACTTTATGAAACACAAAGCGCATGCTCCACCACCGTGATGTGGGCCTTCCCTACAAGAGGTACAAGAGCCCTGCAAAGTTGTTCTATATGATTGATCTATTGCACAGATAAAGGGCTGAAGGTCAGAAAGAGAAGATTTCAAAGGTGCAGCAACAGAACTCCTGCAGCTGCTTTTCAAATAAAAAGCAAGTTGTGGAGGGGACCAAAGAAGTGGTGTGGAGAAGGGGTGCTTAATGCTTTCCTTGCCTGCCATTTTTCCGTTTCAGCTAGCCTCCCAGATACGCTCCCCCTCTGATGGGATTCCAGAACTCAAATGATGACGGGGGAGACTTGAGTCAAAATCATGCCCCCATCGCATGGCCTTCAAAGACAGTAGCTAAGGGCACCCCCAAAAAATAATGTAGTTCCCCCTGTCCCTCCTGTAATTTGAGCATTGCCCTGTCCTGATTGGACGTCCTAAGAAAGATCCTTCTTCTTCATTTGCTGTGAATGAGCAGCAAACACACAACCACGCTTTTTCAGGTTTTGAAGGTTACTTTCCCCCCCTGAAAAGTGAACTACCAATCAGACACCTTCAGCCTTACCAACCTGTTGTCGTTGCTATGCCAACATACTCCGGAGACTGGTTGCTTACAGGCGAGGGTGCAGATGGGACGTCCACTGAGGTGGCAGATTTAGCTGGAGAGAAAGGCACTGGGGAAGGACTTGGAGGAACTGGTTCTGCCAGTATTATCTCTTCTCGTACTTCCACTGCAAAGAAGTGGGGGTGGGGGGGGGGAAGAAACAGATGCTGAAATACCACACCGCCTTTCCTTTTTTATTTCCTTTCTGTAAAAAGGATGTTAAACTTCAATAACAATGTCTAGATTACTATCCTTCTTCCAGCGGATTCTAAAGAAGACCCTTAGTTTGCCCCAGAGATCAGCCCAAGAACCTGTGAAGTCATAATAAAAGAAAATTTCCTCAAAGCCCATATGGAGTGTCTGATCACAGACCAAGCATGGCCTGTCCACATACATTTAGGATTATGGCCTTCCCGAACAGCTGCGCTTCTCTTTACAGAGAGAAACTCTAAAGCTCTGAGTACCTTGACAATGGACTTCAAAATTCAATCATACTACTACTAGTACTACATGGTACTACTACTACTACTACTACTTGTGCTACTAATAGTAGGGCTTTACTCAGGATCCACTATTGTTGGGTTCAAAGGTATGGCCCACCTTGCCAAGCACTGAATACTGTATATTGTAAGATCTGACACCAATGACTACTATTGTAGTTTTTCTACTACAACACTGCAATTTTTAAAAATAAGTAGGTGGTATGAATGAAGAATAACTCTGGGGCATGTGCATCACAAATGAAAGTAGGTTTCCTAGTTGTGGCTTCCCTCATCCCACCAGAATAGTGGTGAGGAGATGCATTTAGGAACATAGAAAGCTTTCCTTCTACTGAGTCAGATCATTTGTCCCACTCAGGATTGTGGACACTGACTGGTAACAGCCTCCGCCCCCATGTTTCAGGCTGGAGACACTCCCAGCCCTACCATGAGACCTTCTACATTCAAAACACATGTTCTGCCAATGACTTACAGCCCTTCCCCAATGGACCACTTAGTTTATCTTTGTGCTTAATAGTGATGCAAGTCGCCCCACCTCAAAAAGGGTATAGTAGATTTGGAGAAGGTTCAGAATAGGGCAGCCTAAAAGGTTAAAGGAGATGGAGCGACTCACTTGTGAGTAAAGGTTGAGAATTTGGGACTTTTTAGGTTAAAGAAAATTATGCTTGGCATGGAGATAGTGGAAAGGGAAAAGTTTCTCTCCCTCTCTCCTAACTCTAGAACTTGTAGACAGCCAACAAAGTTGAATAATGGAGGATCCAGGACAGATAAAAGGAAGTACTTCTTCATGCAGCGCATAAACTATGGAACGCACTCCCACAGGAGGCAGGGATGGCCACCAATTTGGGTGGCTTAAAAAAAAAGACTGGACAAATTCATGGAGGACAAGGCTTTCAATGGCTACTAGCCTTGATGACTTTTCTTTACCTCCTCCATCAGAGGCAGCATGCCTCTGAATAAAAGTTGCAGGTAACTGCAGGTGTGCAGAGTGCCCTGCTTGCAGGCTTCCCACAGGAATCTGGTTGGCTACTGGGAGAACAGGATACAGAACTAGAGGGGCCAATGGCAGCAGCATTCAGCAAGTTCCTCTTATGTTCTTAAGCGCAAATGAAGAAGCTTACCTGTTCCTCCTTCTCCTTTCATTGCCCTCATGAGCTCATTGGCTCTTTCCTGGCAATGGAGTGATTCTAACAGGTACAATACGTAGTCATCAAACATCAGGTGAATAAGGTGAAAAGATCCTGATGACAAAACAGCATGAGCATAAAACAGTTAATGGAATCCTCGTGGCATTTAGAAACTCATTGGTCCTATGTAGTCCTTCTACTGGTCACTTTATGAAAGGGAAGCCCAAACATAATTCGGATCAGACTAGAGGAAGTGGAATTTTGTTTTGCTTTGCTTTGGTTTCTCCCATCTGCTTCCTTCCCCACTCAGTTGAACTGCAAGGGTAACTATAGTTGCTACTAGAGAGCTACCTCTCCAGATTTGCAGAGTGTTATGTTCCTTCTGTGAGAAGAGGACACTGGCTTGATCCAGCAGGTCTCATCTTGTGTTCTTTTGACAGCAGTTAAACATCTACTTTTAGCCTCACTAAGCCATTTTTTGCAACCGAACTACCAGAAAAAGAAAGGGTGAGGAAAAAGATGGAAACTCTAGGAACTAGACATTTATTGCCATTTTCGTCCTCTGTCTCTTCTTTCGAGAAGAACTGAATGGGCAGTGGTTTGAAGCTTGCTGACTCGTCAGGCTGTGCGTGGCAATGCAGAAAGAAATTGGGTATGGGGCACTATTCAATGGTAGTCTAAATCTTAGGGTTCTATGAGCAAATCAGGTAACCATTTGAGCGGCAGCAGTTTTGATAGCAGACCAAATTTTGGTAATTGGTGATCCTTATGAAGGTGGAAAAAATAGCTTTTTGCTCTGGAAAACAAAACAGCTAGATTGCATATTTTGAAAATCTTAATTCCACTTCCTGTTTTTATTATTATTTTTAAATTGTTCTCTAAAAATATTTTTACTGTGGATAGGAAGAGAAAGTACCGAAGCTGGGAGCACTGTGCAACGTCATGTCCCGAATAACCCTGGTGCCAAAACAAGACCACATCAAGAGGAATTGCTGAGCAACTTTCTTCAAAGAGCCTTGTCTCTTAGCAGCTACCTGCCAATAAAAAGAAATGGATGTGATTCAGATCAGATGCGTCTTCACTGTACTTACTTACGGCCAGCCAAGGACAACATTGCATGTGTTCTTCTATCTTCTTTCTTAGATAGCTACGTCCAATTGTAATTTCATATGAATAGTTATAAAGCAGATTTTTTTTTAAAAAAATAAAAGTCTGCAAGTCTACCTTCTCCTTTTGAATTATTTCACTGGTGTGGGTGGGAGAGATGCTAACATAAAGCAGAGAGGGAACAGAGAACCTGTCTTTGGGGGACCTCCAATCTTTCATCCAGGGGAGGAGAGCACCACAAGTGCCCCTTCCCTCTGCTTTCCCCTGCGTTGGGGGTATCAGAAGTGCCACCGTGACACCAACAATCATTACACCAATTGTCATGCTCATCTCAGACCTATTTGCATGCCAAACAACCAGGACACCTTGCATCAAGGAAAGGGGAAGCTGCCATATTTACCAGGCCTGGAAGCAAAGGGTCAAAAATTAGCATGTGCACAGAGACATATGCAACAGCCGTAGCTACATTCCAGCTGTTTCGTGGGCTTCATGCTAGCAGAATAACTAAAAATCAACACTTGACAGCCAGCAACTAGTAAATACTTTTTATTGTTAGCCTTTTCAGAGTCAAGGCCACCCACATGAGCTACTTTTCTGGCCCACCAGTACAATGAGACATAGTAAGAGACCTGATATGAACAAGAAGATAAGCCAAACTATGGCTTAGTGAGAATGTGTGCATATGCAAGCTGTCACAGAGGAGCTCACAGCTGCTTTGCATCTCCCTGGTCATTTTCACTGCTGCACCAACCTAAGCTAAGGCCTGGCTGAGCATGTCGTCTGAACAAGGATACATGGTTAAGCGTTCTCCTAGCTAAACATGTGCTGCAGCTTTGTCTTTAGAAAGGAAATGGCTGGACACAGAGCTCCACACTCTGAGTGTTCATTCTTTTTTCCTACTGACCTTTACGACGCATCTGTCCACCATGGAATCCAGCCATTCCACGTAGGATTCAATGGGCGACTGCTCTTCCAGAAGGTGATCAAACTCTTGATATACTAGCAGAAAGAAAACCCAAATCCAAATAATAAATTCCTGTTGCCCCCTTACTGAAGGAAAATGGGGAGGGGGAAATCGGTAACACTCTCCTTGTTTTCCGCACCATTTTTTGACAGTTTCTTCACTTTATCAAAACATTTGCTGTTCTTTCTTTAAAAACATGGAAAAGCAAAAAACATTTGCTGCGTTTGATCTCCCTCACTCTTTCTCTCCCCCCACCCCATTTTTCCAGCGGTGCCTGCCTATAAGTAAATTAGAGACACAGCAATGATCGTCTTTCTTCCAAGAGCGAAAGCTAGGCTCTGACCCTTTTGATAAAGAAGGTCATGCATGAAATTGATTCAGAAATGCACCAAGATGCTATTGGAACCCAAGAGCGGCTGACGGCCTTCCCATCAGTAAATGCTCCACAAATACGTAGCTGATGCTAACAACATTTATTTATTTGCCGTAGCTAAAAGGCAAGCTATTTCCTATCAAAACCTACAAAGCTGTCATATTTAATGACTTCAAAGAGACTAATGGATATTATCTACAAGACGAATGCCCTCTTTCAGATTTGCCACAGGGAGGTAAACTTTAAAGATATGTATTTGCAATGGCTTTGCTTATGAAAAGTTCCAGGCTGCTTTTCGCAATGGATCGAAGTGGCTCAAAACCAAGAAGAGCAACATTCCATTTAAAACACAGCAGGAAAATAAAATGTGATTAAAGCTGCAATTCTAAAGACACCAGCCTGGGAGTAGGCCCCATTGCACAGAGTGGGAGTTACTGCATCGTATTCTTACTCTGAACTTGCTTAATATGGTTTTCCAGAAAACGTAAACTCCACCTCCTGAGTCACCATTTTGCATTTGGTGCCATTTCCAAGACACTATCTCGCATCTGGGTCCTGTACTTAGTTTACATTAATTTTAACAAGTGCATTAGAAGAGGCAGGAGGAATAAAAGCATTTTAGACTCTCCTATGTAATTGACTCACTTCCTCTTCTCTTTCTGCCCTGCAGGTGGGAGAGCTGCTGAGAGTAGGGAGGAAATCTGAGTGGACAAACGGCAGGGAGGGAAAGGGTTAAGCAGCTGCTCTTTCCCCAAGGATCTTCCTACTGCCAGCCACTTGTTGTCTTTTGCGCTTTTAATCAACAGATTAGGATGCACGGAGGAGCCTTGCTGATGTCAAAGAGCAACTACTTTGGCACGCTCTGTATTTGCCATGAGGTCCAGAGCTGCCCTCTCTCATCAGAGTTGAGGGTTTTTATATCCTTACATTGTATTATAAGTTTCCTGTGCTCCTCCCGCGAGTCTTCCATGGTGTATAGCGTTTGTTTGGTAATGCTGTTAAGGTCCACATTCCTCCAGTCTTCCAGCATTTGGAATGTGATGTCCGCACTGTGGATCACGGTTCTTGAGGCCTATAATCCAGTCCAAGCAACTCATTAGCTCATGGTTTATTAGCTTGAAAAATAGACTTTTATCCACTTACACGCTTCCTTGGCAAGTCTCACTAAATTGATTTTCTCATGGATTCTAATCTAGAAGCATTGTGGGTCACAACAGGCATCTGTCTACTCACTACTAGGGATGGAAGGATCGGTCCATTTCGGTTCCATCAGTGTCTCATTTTTACAATCCTAAATTGAGCTCTCCACATTGCAACAGTTTGCATTTTTTTTAAATCTGCATGAAAATTCAACAGCATTTAAGTCTGTATTTCTCCTAATAAACACGTGTTTATATGCAGTTTGGGCCAATGTGCACATTTTTGCAAGCAATTTTCCCCAATTTAATGCATTTTTGTATGTTATTTTCATGAACATCTTGCACACTTCCCCCAGCAATGGTTGGTTGAAGAATTGCATCACAAAATTTGGGTATGTCTTTTGAAGGATAGCTGTGTTTTGACTTGCAAATTGTTTTGAAAAGTGAGAATTTGATAGCTTTGGCTTTAAATACAAACTGAATTGAATTTTCCCTTCTCTACTCACCTAAACAGATTACCTCCATTTGTTTGTGCTACAGTGTTGTTTGCTCTACAGTGTTGTTGTTTTTTAATTGCAAATAAATGCCGTTTCTTTTTCCACATCCGTTGAAGAACAAACACACACTGGAGTCGGAATCGCCGCCCTTGAACTGTGCCTGCAAGGGCCCTGTCGGTAGGCTTACCCCTTTAGACACACCAAAGGCTAATTCATACCTTTTATCACATCGAAAGCAAAATCCTCACACTGTGAATTTGCTACTTCAGTTCCATGCAAAGAGGCACCTGAAATCACACACCTTCCACATGAAACCGAGGCTGCAGGCACAGTAGCACAAACACATTTGCAGCTCTGCCCCACCCCCCCATATGTGAAATAATGATAGTGACTAGTATGACCATAACTAGCTCTCATGCTCCAGGGAGGGGGGCGGCTTTTAGGGAAGATGATGGAAAAATGCAGAGTGCTTGTTCCTGGCACTTCTCTTTTTAGCAATGAACTGGGATGGCCCATCATCATGTGAGCAGGGGTGGAGGAAGGGGGGGCGTGGGGCGTGACGCCCGGGTGTCACTACTGAGGGGAGTGACAAAATGCCGGGCAGCACTCACAGCGTGACTGAGCCACGTGTCTCTCCTGGGAGTGACGCGGTGGCTTGGGCGCCCGCAGGCTCCATGCTGCCCCAAATGGTCCGCCCACTGCCTCCCCCTCAGCTGTAGGGCGGTTGAGTGGGAGGAGGAAGGGAGACTCCCCAGAGGCCCTGCGGAGTATTAAACAATATTAAAACAGTTGTGTCCAGAGACCATGGAAGGCAACGTTGGAGAGGCTATTCTACCAAATATTCTCCTGGAGATGTCCAGTAGAGGAGAGGAGCTCATAAAAGAAAATTATGTCAGAAAAATGGTTTCTGAGAAAATTTGACTCGGCCCTGGTGTTTATACAGCTGCCAAAGCAAAGGATCAATAAACCACAGATAAAGTGACCTTGTAATAAAGACAGACAAAATACCTGACAAAGATGATTTAAGGATGTCTGTCTCCGAAGAATTTGAGAAAACCTTCTGGATACTGCCAATGAAGAAGATATTTATTATAATAAACCACACTGGTTATTTTCGTTACCAAACAAACAAAATGTATAAAAAATTTTGCATCTTAGTTGGGATGGTACTTTTTGACTTTTTACTAAAATTCCTGTTTTTGGCATCCAAATCAGCACAATTCATTTTCTATGGACCAAGGCCAATCTGCCACGGAAATTCATGGTACAGCACAATCCTATCTACTCAGAAGTAAGTTCTGCTGAGTACAATGAGGCATACCCTCAGGTTAACCAGGTATAGGATTGCAGGATTCACTGTGACCATCCTGTCCTGTTGATTTCAGTGGACTTAAGTGGGACTGATTTGGGGCTGGTAACTGTAGGACACCTATCACCTGAAATCTGGGTCCATTTATGCAAGCAAAATCCACATTATTTGCTGGTGTGTGTTTGCTTATTACTGGTATATAAATTTACATCTTTATTTTCAGGAATAAACCCAAATAATATAATTTACATGATTAGTCTTTCATTTTCTTTTAAGAAAAATGTAAACAAATATTTGTTGATGTTTATGAACTTGTTGATGCATCCAAAGCTCTGTAGAATAAACTAAACATGTTAAGAGTATTTTTATACTGAATCACTGCAGTAATCTACAACTGAATATTGTTGTACAAAAAAAATTAAATGGTTAATTAGGTCAACAACAAAACTTATAAATTGCACAGACCTAGGTCACAAAAAACTTTTTTCTGTAGCAAGTTATGTATTTATTTATTTATTTCTTGCAAAATTTTCTATGCCACCGACATTAAATATATATATCATCATGGTAGCGCACGACAAAAAATCAATAAAAATCTCATCTGTAAAACAAATGTAGAATACATCATATTCTTAGTACTGACATAACCAGGGGGGAAACATTCCAAATAATTCTCTCTGGATGCAGTTCTGCTTTAGTAAAGCTAATAGCAAACCACAATTAACTTTGAGAGAAGGACTGAACCCTGTAACATTTGAATAAATTATGAAATTACAAAAATATTATTGAGAAGTTTATATCCCAAGTCTCCTCGACAAAAGGTTATTTTAATTTTTCATGCTAATCAATGCCTAATCCTTTTCCTAAATTAGTTTTCCCTCCCCTTTCATCTCCTTCTCATTCTTCCCCCCTCTTCTTTAACTTTGTGATGTGGAATTTGGGACTTATAAAAGGAGAAGAATTGAGAGCCATGAAATAAAGCAGACTTTATCAATAGGTGATGTGCACTGCAGGCATCTACAAAGCATGCCTGAAAAGAGTGCGGTGCCCTTTCCCGTGGAGATAGGGTAATTTGATCGCCTCCATTTTTAACTCTGCCACCTTTTCTGAGCAAAGGCCTCAAGCTGTAATCAAACAGCCGAAAATCTGGAGAGTTGCTTAATGGTTTTGGATTCGCTAAAACTACATCCAGGCCATCACGGAAGAGAAAGTTCAGTTTGGCTCACATAGCCAAAAGGAATTATCAGTTAATTTTGACTCAGTGCTGTGCCAAGTGTTATACCTAAAAGATTATCACACCCCTTATATACCCGACTGATCACAGACCCTCCAAGTGCCCCTATTTTCCAGGGACATCCCTGATTTAGAGAAACTATCCCGGTTTCTGATTTGATCCCGGAATGTCCCACTTTTCCTTAGGATGTCCCTATTTTCATTGGAGGGTATGGAGTTATCCTGTGCTGTCCAAAGGCAATCCTATATAGGGAAGTTTGTTTAAGGTTTAATGTTTTATTATGTTTTTTGCATATGTTGGAAGCTGCCCAGAGTGGCTGGGGCAACTCTGTAAAATGTGTGGGGTATAAATAGTAAAATTATTATTATGGAATGGGACGTCCCTATTTTCATTGGAGAAATGTTGGAGGGTTCATGATCACTGTGCTCTGTAAGAAAGGAACTCCTTCAAATCTATCCTATACAATGCTGGAATTTGGCCCTTAGCATGGAAGAACCTTCCCTTTAGAACTCCTGTTTCATATCAGATAGCCACCATCTCTATCGCATTTTTGGTGCTCTCAGAAAACTTTACTTTTTCAACAAGCCTTTTATGTGGATTTTTTTTTTTTAGCCCAGCCTGTGTCAAATTTGAAATGGTTTTTCAAATGAAATGTTTAAAATTGTTTTATATATGAGCTTTTTACATTTTTTATTGTTGATTTTTTAAATTGTTAAATCCCTTCAAGGTATTTTCCAGGAAGTGATTCATAAATGGAAACAAATAAGTATTTGGGCACTTGTACTGATGTGGGATGGCATATGGTCTAATGAAATGATGTAAAGATGAATGAGCAAGGAACTCCCGCCAAAAGGAATAGAATGTTTTTTTGGGGGAAATATTTTCTATGTTTGTTACCAATAACGGGTAACACCATGTTGTTTTCCTGACCAAAGTAAGAAATTATACAATACATACGCTCAAACTTGATATTTCGTAGGTTTTCCGGCAAGTCATGAAGAGCTACTTTTAGCCACTCGTCCAGTTGTTTGGCAAACTTGCGTATCACCTGTGTCAAGCTGAAAAGGAAAGTACCACTTCAGAAATCTATGCTGAACCTCTTTCTCTGCATTCATGCCTGCAGCCATGAAAAACTAATGGCTCACCTAATCTACCCTTTGCCCCAATGACCTTTTAAGTTATTGATGCTGCAGTCCCATCCACAATTAACAGGGTTGGGGGAGCCCCACTGAACTCAGTGAGACTTGCTCCTTCTGAATATGCATGTATAGGTTTGTACCCAGAATGTGTTGCAAAACAAGAGCAATCTGAAGTGCACACAAAACATTGATCAACTCTACTCATTCTTGAAGGAAGGCAAGTAGTTTGTCAGAATAGTCAAAGAGAAACGGGGTAGTTCAAACATGCAGGTGTTTAGTATTTAAAACATATAACTATCTTGCTTGTGAAATCTGCACAGAATATAAAGGTTGTTGTTTCTTCCAGGCTATTCTGCCCTATGTTCCTGTATGTGCAACTTCCCCTTTCCCCTCCTTCCCCTTTGAACTCAGTCCAAAACAACATACTGTATCAGATACATTTGGGTGGCTCTTTATAATAATGTTAATGTCATTTATAAATATATGTTTCAATAATAATAATAATAATAATAATAATAATAATAATAATAATAATAATAATAATAATAATAATATATTATTTATACCCCGCCCATCTGGCTGGGTCCCCCCAGCCACTCTGGGCGGCTTCCAGCAAAACACTAAAATACAATAACCTATTAAACATTAAAAGCATCCCTAAACAGGGTTGCCTTTAGATGTCTTCTAAAAGTTTGGTAGTTATTTTTCTCTTTGACATCTGGTGGGAGGGCATTCCACAGGGCAGGCACCACTACTGAGAAGGCCCTCTGCCTGGTTCCCTGTAACGTGGCTTCTCGCAGCGAGGGAACTGCCAGAAGGCCCTCAGTGCTGGACCTCAGTGTCCGGGCTGAATGATGGGGGTGGAGACGCTCCTTCAGGTATACTGGACCAAGGCTGTTTAGGGCTTTAAAGGTCAGCGCCAACACTTCCCCGGAAGCTGCTTACGCAGTGGGCTGGAGCTGCAATGTACAGCTTCCCAGTAATGGCATCACTTACCAAAAAGCGGAGCAGCTATGCAGCTGGGAGGTCAGCACGGTGTGGGCAAATCCAGTATCCCACCATCAATCCAGCATCCTACCACCTCACCCCTTCCCCTCCTGGAAAATGTCAAGCAGCAATGACCCTACAGCTGTGACACACGGGACGAGCCACTTCTGGAAAGCCGCTTTATTAAACATTGTGCAAGTGCAACATTCTTTGACTCAAAGACATGTGTATGAACACAGATGCATATACAGACCGGCCTATCAGAACAGACTCACCTATCAGGTAACGCCTGCAACACCGTTGGCATCAAGACTCCGGAAATAGCTTTGTACAATATTGAATCGCAAACTCCAACAATGTTTACTACTGTGGAAGAACCCAATACAGGAAGCATGTGAGGTGGCATCCCTTGCCAAAAGTGCAGAAGAAAACTTTGAACCTAGAGGTGTGCCAAGACATAAGGAAGAAATGGAACTGGTAATATTTTTTTATTGGCTAGATAACCAAGCAACATCCACTAGTGGTCGGCAGGGCGGGGTGGTGGCCCTTACTTGGAGAGGGGCAAGGTGACAAGAGAGGTCAGTGCAGTGCAAATGCACCAGTGGAGCTGATCAGACACACACACCCCAATGCGTTTGCACAGCACCAACCTTGTGGTCCCCTCGCACCTCTCCTTCTTCCTCAATGACATCAGCAATGGGAGGTCAGGTTAAGTGCTGTTACTCCACCGACCACTACCAATAACATCACTTCACAGCAGGAAGGTAGTTGAACTCAGGGTACAGAGAAACAGCTATCAGATTCTCCCCCACCCCCAGTTTATCTTATCCCATGTGTGCAGCTATCAGCTGCAGACTATTTTTTATTGCATTTCATTTATTTAGAAAGACTCAGAAGCCACTTAGTCAAAGAGCTCTCTAAGCAGCGTACATAATAAAACTGTAGATAAAATGCAGCGAAAATCCACAAAACTTTAAAAACTTTTTTTTAAAAAACCCCAAACAAACGTACAACAACCATTAAAATGCAGAACATTATGTGGTGCTTGTAAAAGTGTAAGTTCCACAGGTCAAATTGGTCAAATGTATGAGGCAAGGTGATCCCTTATGTAATCTGATCCCAAACTGTTTAGGTAGAGGTAGCCAACATAGATTCCAGATGTTGCTGGACTCCAATTCCCATTAGCTCCAGCCAGCATTGCAATGGTCAGCGTTGACAACAGGTGTAGCCCAACAACATCTGGAGGGCTCCACAATGGCTACTCCTGTGTTAAAGACTTTGCATCAGACCTGTGCAAACAACTCTATCTCTCACACCTTTAAACAACAGAGCCTACTCTAGGAAAATGTGTTGATACTGGTGCACAGATACTGGTTAGGTGGGCTGACTGGGAGGGAGAAGATTCTGTAGTTGAGAATGGCCTCATCCTCACATCAAAGTAAGCCACTGTTTATCTTAAACCATTGCTTAATTGTGAACGTTCCTTGGTTTATTTCTGGTTTACCACTTGTGCTTTTGTTTGAAGCAAACAAGCGACGGCATGGTTTCAGACATGATAAGCCATATCATGGCTTATTTGAACCATGTAGGAGCCACATGGGGAGGGGGAGAAGCTGAGTGGAGGCCCTTGCGGCAGTGGGAGGCATGTTCATGATTAAACCATGGCTCAAAACAAACTGTGGCTTACCATGATGTGCAACCAGGTCCGTGTTTGAAATTCAGCATTCTAAACCATCACAGCAGCTCAGCCAACAATAAATACCAGAGGCTTCCCCACCATCTACAAGTACAATACAGATGGCTACTCTGTTGCCCATGAAACTTTCAATTATTGTTTTCCTACAAACCTCGTCAAAGTTGGCTCTTATTACAGTGTCGAGTATCCTCTGACAGTGTGTTCTGTACATCATAATAAAAGTGGACACCTGGCAAGGGAAGGAAACAATATTTTTAAAATATATTCTTTTTATAGCAATAATCTAAGATCATCATGGCCATGATTCCAGGCAACAACTTGGCCATTAGGAAAACAGGAAGTGGCTGCCTTATACCAAGCTGCTCCATCTAACTCATTATTGTCCACACTGACTGGCAGCTGCTGTCTCTCTTTCAGACACGAGACATTTCCAACCCTACCTGGAAATTCCAGGGATTGATTCTGGGCCCTTGTGCATGCTAAGCAGATGCTCTCCCACTGAGCTAAGATCCTTCTCCATGACACAGAGAGTGAGAGTCTGGCTAAGTCAGGAGGGCCGGGGGCGCAGACTGTGGAAGGCCCAAGTCACACAGAGAGAAACGCCTTGAGCTGGAAACCTTTCGCTAAACAACTCTAAGCCTAAGACTCTTGTATTAGATTTCCCCCAATTATACTGACCAATATATGGTACACAGCCAGTGAGAAACTAGTGGTGAAGTGACAGAAAACTAGGCTAGGGTCCAGGTTGCAAGAGCGGCCCATTCAAAACTCTGTGTTCCCCAGCACATGAGCAGAGCCTGAGAGGGTCCGGCTGGGCTCTGGACCTCATCAGAGCAAACGGTCTCTTTGAAGCTGCTTGAGGTTCTGCTGCTTTGGCCCAATGGGCTTCCGTTTGCAGACAGGATGAGTGTTGGAAATATATCGATAAGGGGCTCTTTCTCCTCTAGATAAAAAATAAATAAATCATGGGCAATCTGCTATCTCTCTCTCTCTGTCTCTCTCTCTCTCTATCTAGCCAGCCTTATGATCAAAAGGATCACACACACACATATATATGTATTTTTCACAACCACCGACTTGCCCAACTAGACATGATGTGGAAGATACGTGATGGGGTTGCAATTTAAGTCAGGGAAATGGAATAGGCAGAGGGGATTAACGCCCTGCCCTTTGGCCTTGAGCTACATACTCCTCCGCTCCCTGTGGTTGGTTCTTAACCCAAATAAGTCACGTTGAAAGACATAGCCACAGATCTCCCACATGATGTCTAGATTGGCAAGCATCCCGCCACATATACATTGGAAGACAAGATAGCAGGTCCCTGTAAATTCTACAGCAGCAGTGGGGAACCTCAGGCCCAAGAGCTGAATCTCCATGTCACACCCTGTTCCAGTACATGCTCTCTTTCCCCAAACTACACCAAAGCCCCCTGGTGCTTCTTGCCTGGGTGGAAGATGGAAAGACGTGTGTACAGTGTGGATGTCTGCAGAAGACTTTAAGATAAAGGGGGGGTATACTTGTTTCTGGTGCAGCGAGCAGTTAAGGCCCCTCCCCATAAATAAAGTCAGAGCATCCTTAAACTCACTCTTTTCAAAGGGTGACCCCCACCATATAACTGACCAACCATTCCTCAACCATTCCTCAACAGAGGAGCAAAAGGGGGGGGGGAGGCAAGCCAGAGACTATTTCACTAGAGTCACCTTCTCCTCTGGCAAGCTGGCTGGCAGATTTAGATCTTTGACATTTGGAAACTCTGGCAGCAACGTCCCCAGTTTGGATCGTGGTGAATACGCCACTGTCTGTTTGGTGACTTCTTTTTTTCCTGTTTCATTGACCCAGGCTGCTCCTTTCTTAGAATACATCACGTCATAATACTGGGAGCTTTCTTTTACTGCAATCCCATAGTAATGGTACCTGAAATGTTGAAATACACATTTGTTAGCGGGAGGGGGTAGGGACCCTCAGAAAGGAGTTATTCATTCAGTATGATTTTTTAAAAGGAAACCGGTAACGAAGCAGATTTTACGCCAATTTACAAGTTGATGCACGAGTGCAAATCCAGCAACGGAATGTAATTCCAATGTTTAAAGCAGCTCACTGCCCAGTCCAGCTGGAAAAGTATCCTAAGGGCTGCCAAATGTGGAAGAGCCCAGTGCTTTTGCCTCCTGCCCGAGGAAGCCTCCTGTCCAGGTGCTGAGTGCAAACTAAGCCACAGATGTACAGACCTCCCTTTAGTTCCTGGTAAATGGTCTATACAGTTACTTAGGAGGATACGAAGAACAGCCATGACAGAATGGCTTCTAGCAGCGTCTCACAAAGCCACTTATGGCAGGGGTAGCCAAAGCGGGGCCACCAGATGTTGTTAGACTCAAACCCCCCATTAGCCCCAGACAATGTGACCAATAATCATGGCTTATAGAAGGTAAGTCCAGCAACATCTGCAGAGCAAAACATTGGCTACCCCTTCCCTATGGCAGCAGGACACTGCATTAAAGAAGAGGGCCAGTGTTTCTTTTCTTTTTGTGCTCCTTGTCCACACCACATCATAGAATCAAACTAAAAGGTAAAGGACCCCTGGACAGTTAAGTCTAGTCAAAGGCGATTATGGGGTTGCGGTGCTCATCTTGCTTTTCAGGCTGAGGGAGCCAGTGTTTGACCACAGACAGCTTTCTGGGTCACATTACTCGGCTGGAAAAGTGCACTGCTAATTAAGGAGAAATGCAAATTCCAAAGACTGGCTGTGTTTTGGTTTGCACAGTGTTTCAGAAAGTGTGAATAAGGTTTACCTTTAAATATAAAACTGAATTGAACTTCTCTCCCACCCACACAATGTTGTTGGCATAAAAATCCCAGTCTATATCCCCCTCCAATTTAATCTGAAAAACCAGGAAAATCCAATTAAAGAACCTGCTGCCAATGACCTGTTTGTCATATATGGACAACCCATTTACAGGATTAAGGCCCCTCCCAATCTGGAAGCATCCAGACACAGCCATGCGCAAACTGGCAACATGGCCACTGATCTCTTCTTCTGATGAAGAGAAAGCAAGCATCTTGTTATCTTTTGCGAATTGTAAAGCCCTGGCATTCTTTCCGCCCAAATCTGAGTCCAAGGTGACCCACTGCAGCAGAAGGCAGTGTTTCTACACTTTGAACAACAGCCTTGGAGAGGAAAAGAGTTTTGGTTGCTGCTAAAACAATCTCTTCCATGCAACTATTAGAAGTTTAGGAGCTCTGTCGCTCTGTTGTATATCAGACTCTCAGTAGCACTGCTGATCCCACAGAACAAAGCATATCGAACAAAAGAGCCAGTGCCCTTTACTGGACCTAAGAAAGGTCAGATTTGTTTGGTGTTTCTCCCTCCAACACACACCAAAAGCCATATTACAAAAAGGCTCCCAGTGAATAACCTACGACCATACTTAGCCTTTCTGTGATTATGAAACACACATTATTGCTTACTTTGACTGGCCTCTGGTTCCAAGTCTTCTTGTTGTTAACTGCGGAAATTGCTGCCTTATTATCTGCAAATAATATTCACGAGTTAACAAGTTAAAAAACAAAGCCCTCTGCTCAGAATTTAGCAATGGGGGCAAAGGTAAAACAGGCTGGAAACTTAAAAACACAGTTTTTGGCTCAGACCCGCAACAAGAGCATACAAATATCTTGATTTTGTTTATTTATGTAAATACATTTATATCCTCCCTGCTTCATCCAAAGAAACCCAGGGTGGATAACCAACAAAGTTAAAAGAACAAATAAGGTTCAATAAAACAATGCATCAATAATTAAAACAGATAGAACAACAGCATCAGCAACTAACCACTCCAACATGGTTAGCAGGTGGGTCTTTCACACCTAGTAGCTGTATAGTTGCCCCTGTCCCTTGCTTCCAGTGTGGGGCAGTGTATATAAGAGCACATGCCTCAATGGTAGGGCAGTGAATGCACCATTTATTAAGAGTTGCTGCAGGTTCCTTTGCTGAAAAAACGGCAGCTGAACTGGCAGCAATAGCAAGGAGCAGAAACAGGACCAGGAGGCTCCAATGCCTCACACTGGAGCGCGGGCCTGAACAGGTAACCAGGGGTGCCAACTGCTGATGCTAGCCCTGCCTACTTGGGGGCACCTCAATGGCTAGTTGTATGGAAGACAGAGTGATGGACCTTTGGTCTGATCCTGGAAGACAATTATTAGTTTCCTCGTGCATCCCTACAAATATACATGGGATACCAGCAGTGTAGCTCCAGAATGCTTATTGTGTGAACGGGCTGCAAGGAAAATCTCAAATCTAAGGCAAATTCAGAAGCATGTTCAGGTGAGCCTATCCAGACAGTTGCTTCTCCTGTCGTTGTAGTGCCAACATAGGTGAGCTGAACAAAAAGTACTTCAAATATAAATTTTCTTGCATGGGGTGTATGGACTTCACGTGCAGTCACTGTTCCACCTAGGAACCAGTCACTATCTGCAGGCAGATTCGTACTGTGCCCCTTTATCTTATGGGTTGCTGGGCAGCCCTTAGTCACACTTCTGGCTAAAAAGCATCCTTAGAATCCTGAGTGTCCCTTTTGTTTATTTGCTTTTTGTAGTCCCAGGTGGTTGCAAAAATAGGTTTGAAAATGTGACGGATAAAATAACTGCTAAAGATTTGTAAGGCTGAAGCCTGTATGATTTTGGTTTTTGAAACTAATTTTACTGGGGGTGGAATCATTTAAAGCTACAAACTTCAAAATACCTGACACATTATTTCACACAACTGTGTGGCAAATGAACCCAACACGTTTAATGTCAATTTTCATTTCATCTTGCAGCAGGCATGACAGCGACGTACAAGGAAAAGTTTATTTACAGTGCATGAGACCTTTGGAAGGTGCACTTAAAGAATCCCATTTGAGGAATATTTAGTTGGGGGCTAAATATTTCATGTGAGTTAATTCTTTTTCAATAGTTTTGATAAAGGGATACCACTGAGCAAAAACGTAAGTACATACAGCAAAAAATTTCAAGGACTGGTACCAATCTTTTAAACTTGGGCAAAACACCCATATACATCCTCTGATATATCCCAGTTTCATTCTCATAATATGCAAATAATGTAGATGGCCTGTAATTATTATTCAATTATTCAAATTAGCTTGTCTGCAGATACTTCTTACAGAGGAGATACCTGTTGTGTTATTTTGCCTGCAATGATTCTATTTCCCACATTCTGAAATTCCCCCGTGCTCAACAACCCATCCATATTTACTGAAAATAATGGAGCAGAATTTTAAATGGGACACACTTGTCAATTTACTGAGAACATCAACCTGGAGGAAGATCTATCCCTATTAAGTTCTAGCATGGATGGCAAGACTGCAGTTGAAACAAGGGCCACACAAGCAATAAAGAGGTAAAAATCAAATAGTGGAAAGTATTATTTTGACAAGATGTGTTAAGCATGAAAAAGAATCCATCCCATGTTTCAGACAGGGAATTAAAATGACAAAAATAAATATAGATGCTTCCTAAACTATGTTCATTTTTAAATTGTAGATCCGTGCAACTGATTAAAATAATCTGTTGCCTCCATTGGCTTTTAACCCTTCCTGTTGCAAAGGCCATCATGGCGGCAAAGTGCCCACACCCCAAATTCTGTGATGTACATTTGGATCACAGGTGCTGTGCAAAAATGAGGGGGGGGACCCCACACAACACCATTTACATACAATTTCCACCCTCCCTCTGATTTCACTACTTATTATTATTTTTCTCTCATAACAGGAAACCACCCTGGCATTGGTTCATGAGTCTTATCCAGAATAGTCCACACATGTTAGAGAAGCGTGGATTTCACTAGCCTTTCTGGTTTATTTTCTGGAGCGAAGAGGGGAAAAAATCAGCAAACAGAAAAACACTTTTGTTGAGCTGTGAAAGTTCAGGCTAGCTATTTGATAAATGAGCAGACAGGCAAGCTGCCTCTTTCTCCCTCTCTTTTTTGTGCGGGTTCAATGAAGCCTACCTAAAGAACACCACATGCTGTTCCAGCTACTGATCTAACATTCCGCAACATCTCAGCCTTCCAAATTCTCTTTAATTACACATTAATCCCACCCCTCTCTCTTTCAGTTTGTGCAGACGGGGATGGGGGTTCCTAGGGGCTGTGGGGAAAAAAGCATTTTCTGGGCTTTTTTTGGGGGGGGAGGGGTGCATGTTGTCATTCAGGACGTACTCCCAAAGCAGAATATTACCTCAACAGACCTAAAGCAAAATGAAACATCCCAGCTCACTTTAGCTCGCTTTCGGAAGTACGAGAAACAAACAAAACCCAACAAGTTCCTTTACACTTCCAGTATTTCAACCCCAGCAAATCAAGAGGGCTTTAGCAAAAATGTTATCTGTGTACCAAAATGCACCTTTGGTGACCTTCCAGATGATTTTTTTTTTTTTTAATCCCGGATCTCTCTTAAAGCTACACTTGCACTAGCCACAGCCCAGCACCGATATATATAGGGTGTTTTTCTCACATTATGAACCGGGAAGGAAAAAGAAAAAAGATTCATGTAATGGTGGCACTGCTATGAAGATGTTTTTGCAATATATTTTGTGGGGTGGAAAAAGTAGGTGCTGATACTGTGTGGTGATTGGCTGTACTGGTGGATGGGGGGGGGGTTGTGTGGGAATAGAAAGGGATGAGTGACATTGAATAATAATAATAATAATAATAATAATAATAATAATAATAATATATTTATACCCTGCCCATTTGGCAGCCACTCTGGGTGGCTTCCAACAAAAGATTAAAAATACATTAAAGTATCAGTCATTAAAAACTTCCCTAAATAGGGCTGCCTGTATGGGCAGCAGGTATGGTATGATTTGTGTAAATGTAAGGTCGAATCTGGGTGTGACATGCGTGCATTAAGTGGAATAACCATTGTGTTTTGTGAGCAGGAATGGGGAAGAAATTCAATTCAGTTTGCATTTAAAGTCAAATTTGGCATATATTTTTTTACTTTCCGAAACAATACAAAAACAGTCATCCCTCACAGAGGTACAATTCCCAAAGTTCCCTGGGAAGAGGGGTTGACTGTTAAGAATTGTAGCTCTGTGAGAGGAACAGGGGTCTCCTCACAACTTGCAGCACCCTTAACAAAGTACAGTTCCCATGATTCTCTGGGGGAAGCCATGACTGGTATGGTACTGTTTCAAGTGTATAGAGCAGATGGAGCCCAATACTGTCATTCAGGGTGACTGTACAGTGGTGCCTCGCAAGACGAAATTAATCTGTTCCGCGAGTCTCTTCGTCTTGCGGTTTTTTCGTCTTGCGAAGCACGGCTATTAGCAGCTTAGCGGCTATTAACGGCTTAGCGGCTATTAACGGCTTAGCGGCTTTAAGAAAAAGGAAACAAACTCGCAAGAACTCGCAAGACGTTTCGTCTTGCGAAGCAAACCCATAGGGAAATTTGTCTTGCGGAACGACTCAAAAAATGGAAAACCCTTTCGTCTAGCGAGTTTTTCGTCTTGTGAGGCATTCGTCTTGCGGGGCACCACTGTATCTGGAATAGAAGACCATCACATGCACTCGCTTTCTGGTGACACAATTCACTAACACTAGTCAAATTCACTCAGCTACTTTTTGACTTTTAAGTCTCACGCTCATCAAAACATTTCTTAAAACTGATGCTACTAATAATCCAATCATGGCACTGCCTCCCATCAAAAACTTCAAAAGGAATCTCCTCCGTCTACTGTTTTTCTCCTGACAGTTTCCCGCTTTGGATTGCAGTCCACATGTAGGAGATTGTATATTTCACAGCCATTATTATTTCAGATTCCCAAAACCCCACTTGAGGTGAGGTTTGGTTGACACTCACCTTTCCAAAGCTGGCAGCATTGACTGGCTGTGTGTCGTTTTTCTCGCAGAAGTCCAAATAGTGCATATAAAGGGCGCTTCGAGGAATGCAGACACCTTCTGCGATTTCGTAGTTCTCCTCCAGCCTTAAAAACAATGATCGAACAATGGAAAACTACAAATAGGTTGGCTGCTCTGTATTTCAACTTCCAAATCTGCAGACTGAAGGGCCAGCTCCTATGCTAGGACATTGTTTTTTCATTCATAAAAAATAGCCAAATGTGTTCTATTTATTCTGTACTGAAATACAGCATACTTTGCACACCAACACCAATTCTATTAATATACAAATAATACTAATATAAATGAAAATCAATGGTGATGCTGCAATGTGCCACAAATTCTTGAAGTCAGACTCCTGTAACACGTCAAAATGTTTTACATCACTAGAATACTAAGTAATTAAGGATCCAAAGGCTGAAATAAAACATTTTCACACATTTAAAGGCAGTCAAACATTAAAATGCCCTTCAGCACTTTATAACTATTTTCTGATATGCCGTATCTTGAGTGAAAGGAATGCAACCAGAGACTAAACCAAGCAGTAAAATATTGTTCTGCTATACTCTGTATGTAACCTTCGCACAAAAGCTTATGCCACAACAAATCTGCTAGTATTTTAAGGTGCCAAAAGATTTAGGCTATCTTGTACATAACTTCCTGTGGGAAAGAGCCACGGAACTCTGTAGCATTGAGTAGGCATGCACTGGATTGCACTGTGAGCCTGTTGCAGCGAAAACAAAAAACGCAGTAGCCTCTCAAGAATGCCCTTGTTATATTTCAGTTTGCATGGTAATAACAAAACATATGTATACATGCATATATTGATCTCTTATCATTTAAAAGCAGCACCAAGGTGTGCATGCAGGAAGCTCTGCATGCCTTGACTGAATTGACCTACCTTCAACTCAAGTAGTTCTGACAGCCCCAATTATCTGTTTAAGGAAGAAGTGGGGAGCTGGATTCAGCCCCTTGTATTCTTGCACTAGTCAGTGGGGCAAGAAACACTAGGCAGTGTTAGTTCATCACTAATCATAAAACAGTACTCTGCCTGGCCTTGAAAGGTGGCCCGCAAAGCTGTTTTTTTGGTGAGCCATGCTCACTTTCCCCACATCTGATATCATGTAAGGTGTCAGATGCCTGGAAAAGAATCACAGCCCTGCTGGCCCCTCATTGAGGCCTGTGGAGGACTGGACACATCTGGATCTGGTTCGCTGGTTCATAGCATTAGCACCCCAAATAAAGGGTCTCGCTTCACCCACAGCCACAGCCTTGGATGCGAGCAGAAAGCAAGCATATCTTTCCCTCCCCTCACAGATTTCAGTCTGCTTCTTGCTTCAACTTCTAGCTTACAAACACACACAAGTTTCACCTCTGGCCTTTGTCTTTCTAACTACCAGCCAATTGAAGGGTGGGGAGCCCACTCATTTGCCATCTAGCATAGAGCCACTCCCTTTGTTTCCTTAAAGGCCCATTACCTCAACAGGAAGCTAGCCTGGCTCTTCCAGGAATTAGAAAGGGATCCAGGCATGCACCCTAACTGCTACCCATACTCATAACAAAATGATAGTAGTTCAACATTTGAAAATAAACACCTCTCTTTAAACACTAAGTTAGCTGTTTAAGCACAAACCTACTAAGCAACAACCTATCTTGAAGACACTAATTTATGTCCTGCTAGCTTGTTTTAGGAATTTTCTCCCTTATCTTCAAGATAAGATATTTGGTGGTATGAATAGACTCAATAAGGGCGCCGCAGCCATGCTTCCTTTCTTTCAATGGGAATATCATCTCTGCATCTTTCCCCAAATTCATGGACCTCAACAAAACCTCTTTTCAAAGTGCAGAGACTTTGCTTGTATGCTATAACTGCTAATTGGCATGTCAGTTTCTCTGACCAAGACAGGATAGAAAGGCCGTGTTAATTATTTCTCTTCATCATATATTTGATGAATTTCCCCTCTCTTTTCTTCCTTTTCCCCTCTCTGTCTTTCACAGAGAGTCATTAGTTTGACACTGGACAATGTTCCATTATACCTGAACTCTTTTTTAATGATCAAAAATCCAACCTTGCAGAATGTCTTTCAATTTTTTGCCCCCGCTTGAAAAAAGAGGGAGTGGGAACCTTCATCATAAGTTGAATTCAGCTCTAGCCTACAGTATTGTGTAAAGATAATGAACTTTGACTATTATCCCTATAAGTAGTAGAGGAATGTCCTTATAAAGCAATATGAGCTCTCACAATAAGATTTTGAGGCTACTCATAGCATTGCAGCATATCTCATATTATGAAGAATGGGGCTTCCTTCACTGGTTTTACAGTGGTTTTACTTTGCCCGGGGAAGGGTGAGAGAGGAGGCCCCCCTGGCTGTGCCACGGTTTAAATTTCCCATGGCCATGCCCCCTACCAGCACTGATTGGATGGCGGGACCACCTCTGGGCATCGCCCCGCCCAGCACTGGTGATGTGGCCGGGACGGCATGAGGAGGACGTCAATCTCTGTCCCCTGCTGGATCACTCTGGGGGCCCAGATGCCTGGCCACAACACCGCCCACCATAAAAGGCAAGCGGACATCTCATATTATGAAAGTGAAGAATGGGGCTTACTTCACTGGTTTTACATTTCTATTGCACCTTCTCTTATCTTTGGAAATCTTTACTATGAAGTGCTAAAGAAAAAAGCCACTGACTTTAGGAGAATATAAGAATACATCAAGACGCAGAAATATTGCACAATCATTTTAAGTGTTCACAGTAGTTGCATAATTTAATCACAAATGGTCTTTGTGTCCAGGAGAAACACTCTGTTAGTCCAACGTATGCAGCTATTTCTTTTGTCATCACAATATACATTTATTGTATTCAAGCCAATCCAGATCAGTTCAGTACATCCTGGATTCCAACGGTGTCAAACACCATAAAGCCAAATATAAAATTGGGTGACTCAGACAAGCAAGTCCTGCTGCAAAACAACCAATGAATCCTTGCAGGAAAATTTGCAAAGCAGATTTTTAAAAATGAACAAAGTTCCAGATCCAGTTAATAATCCATGGCAGCCAGTTCAAAATACCATGCCCAGAACTTCACTCAAGGAAGCGAACCAAACCATATGCTTCAGATCCACTCAACCCATGAAGACAATTCAAAGCCAAAGCATAAGCAAATCAACAATATATATAGTTATCACATCCCTCTCTCGTGCTTATATCCATGCAAACATGTACAATCTCAATTCCCTTGCCTTCCCCTTAACACCTCCACCATCACCACCCACAGTCCTCTGCTCCCACTTCCACTGATCTAGTTAGCTGGGCCCCATCTGCATTGGCCAAACAATCTGAAATGCGGCACAGCAGGACAGTCCAGAGTACTGCTGTTGCCACTGCTCATTGGCCTTCCTGAAATATGTAGCAGGTAGAGCACCCAAGCTGCTGCTGACATATGTCAGCTGGTCCCAAATGCAGCAGCCACACTGCTGCTGCTGCCACCGCGACACTACTCTGCTTTTCCTCTTCCCGTTGCAACTTCCACACTGTTCCACACATCCTCTGCTCCCAGGCAGACTGTAGCATTCAATTTGCCTGGAAGAATAAAAGGGAATTCATGGAGCTATGGTAGCAAATTAGGAAGGGAAAAGGAGTTGGTGTGGTATGTAGTAGTACCCTTTCACCTTCTTTCCTTCCTTCCTTCCTTCCCTCCTTCCTCCATAGCAGGTCCTACAGCCCAGATATTTTGTACCTCTGGCTCAAAAACCCAAAGGTGGCACCTCAGGCCTGGAGGTTCTGGGCCAAACCCAAGAACCCTACTTGTGATCAACCCGACACAACAGGCTTGTCAGGATTGAGCAACTAAGATTGGAGCAACTAGGAACAAACTATACCAACATGGGTCCTAAACGAAGGTTGTAGAGTTTGGTGGCAACAAGCCAGAACAGGGACCGCAGGAAAGAGGAAATAGCCAGAGGCTGTCGCATTGGTGAGGAGAGTCAACTGGATTATATAATATAGGCTTTGCCCCTCTCAGACATCTGGGATGCAATAGTAAACAATGGGCGCATTTTGACAGAGCCAAGGATCCCAGGGGTTTAGGGACTGGCCACTAACCTCCAAGACTATGGATGCTAACAAAATGCTTCAAATAATACTGCTGCCAATATTTGCTTGTTTTCTTTTGGGAGCAGAGCTCTATTATCTAATTAGGGGTGATGTCCAGGCTAACAAGCTATCTCCAGACTCCATCAAATTACGGGAGAGACTGACGCAGAAGGCCTGTTTTTCCTGTATGGGTGTGGGATAACTGGAAGCACTAGTCAGTGGGGGAAATCAAATTTAACAAACAAACAAAGGGGAAAAAGACAAGTGGTGTTTGAATTCATAGACACTGCTAGCAGTCTGTTAGCACAGCTTGAGGGTGGGGTCTCAGAGGACTACTTTTGCCCATATAATCCTGCTCACTTATAAAATTCTTTTTGGGAGGGCCTTTTCTGGGTGCCCCGGTCTTCAGAAATGAGGAGTTTTCTGGCTTATGTTGGTTTTGCTGGTTATTAGAGAGAGGCAGGAGTTGTGCTCACCACAGACCAGTCTTCCTCAATCACCAGATGTTTTTGACTATAATTCCCATCAGCCCAAACCAATATGGCTATACTGGCTGGGGCTGGTGGATGCTGAAAATTGAAACATCTGGAGGGCACCAGATTGGGGAAGGCTGCCATGAACATAGTGGATAGTGCTTTTATGTGGTTTAGATGGCATTAGTTGTATCTGGGCGGAGTAAGGAATTTCCTGTTCTGTTCTTGATGGAGAGAGAGAAAAAGTTCCTGTCTGGCTTTCTAACTAGTGTTTACTGTCAGCCAGGTGTGGGGACTCTTTAGCCTTCCAGGTGTTGCTGAACTACAACTCCCATCAGCACCGGCAAGCATGGCCAATTGTCAGGGATGAGGGGAGTTCTAGTTCAGCAACATTTGGAGGACCAAAGGTTCCCCATACCTCCTCTAAGATTTCAATTACATCCATCCTCATTTATCCTTTCTTTTCTTATCATCCTTTCAGTTGCACTTGCTTTTCTGAGTCTCGATGTAGGTAGCTTGAAAATACAAAAGGCTCACATCTTATCCTTTAAATACAATAATAAAAATCTTACCATTGCAGAGTAGCTGGAGTGGAATGTGGTTTGGATGCTTTGTTATTCTCTTTCTCCTCATCTGTTGCGAGAAAACAATACGAGAGAAGAGACTTTCAGTCAAACCACTAAAGCACCAACAAGGGGGATGCAGGATTAACCACTGTACATAAAATCTCATGCTTCCCAGGATAAACTCTGAAAGTTGCATAGCACAGCTGGAGTCACTGTGAATCAGCATGTCGTTTGTTTAACACAGGGTTGCAGAGCCTCAGTTCTGGAGTCAAATGCCACCCCTGGGGCTCTCTTATCTGGCCCTCAGAACTCTCCCTGGCCACATCCCTTCACCAGCCCTACTTTCCATCCTCCTTGAGTGTTTCTGCCTTGATGCACTGAGGCAGCATGTACCCTGATTGGCTGTATAGTTCTGAGGGATTCTCCTCTGTGCATTTGGTTGAATGTCATCCTGCAATGTACAAGGCCTGAAGTAAGAAAGACAAAACTTTTTTTTTTGCTTCTCCTAAAATTATACTGTTTTAGGAGATTATAGTGTTTTCAAGACTTTTCTCTCTGGATTCTATTTGTGTTATTTGTGTGACTTTGCTAACCAAAGGAATTGCAGTCTGAAACATCTGGAGGGTACCAGCAAAGGCTGACCTGGAGCTTAGTGTCACTCCCTACACCTTACTGTAACTGAAAAAGTATTCAATATACTCATCTCCTGCTTACCTATTCCTCCATTTCCCCCTTCCTTCATTGTTTCCTCTTATTTTGGAATGTACCGTATTTTTCGCCCTATAGGACGCACCGTCCCATAAGGCGCACCTAGTTTTTTTTTGGGGGGGGGGAAATAAAGGGAAAAAAATATTTTCCCCCCAGGCGCGGGGCTGGGGCGGGGGAAGCTCGAGCTTCCCCCGACCCCAGCCCCCAAACAGGCAGCTCTCTGCAAGCCGTGGGAGCGCTCCTGCTGCTTGCTGAGAGGTGCGCGAAGCCTGGACGCACTGAACTGAGCGCGCGCAGGCTTCAGCATGCAGGCAAGTCTCCGCAAGCAGCGGGAGCCCAGCGCTAGGCTCCTGCTGCTTGCGGAGAGGTGTGCGAAGCCTGGAGATCATGAGGGGTCGGTGCGCACCGACCCCTCTCGCTCTCCAGGCTTCAGCGAAAGCCTGCATTCGCCCCATAGGACGTACACACATTTCCCCTTCATTTCTGGAGGGGAAAAAGTGCGTCCTATAGGGCGAAAAATACGGCAAGTCACTTTAGCTAGGGGCTTTGTCATGCCTGTTCTTTGAAATGAACAATGTAGAGAGATAGATGGCCTATATTTAGAAATTAATCAATTAATATGATGGTAACAGCAGCTGTAAGCGAAAGATACCATCACCTTCTCTCTGAGAACTGAGCTTGTAAAGGTGTGACAGGCACTATGGAATTTATTTCAAAGACAGGGATCCCCAGAAAAATCCTGATGGAGCTGCCAGTCAGAGTAGACAATAATGGGTGAACTGGGCAATCAGTCTGATTTGGTATTAGGCAGACATTGCGATGGATTCAGCCCCTTGTCAGAAGGCTATGGGACCACTGAGAAAATATCAGGTTATTTTCTGTTATTTTTTTACTCTTCAGATAGTATTTTATTTCGTTCACAGGCAATCTGAGGGTTCCATTCCTCTCCCATTTAATATATGGGTGAGGTGAGCCCACCCAAAGAGTGTGTGGGTCAGATGCTGAGGGGGTGGTTGTGATGCAACAGTCCGCCTCCTCCTGAGGCCTATGAAGCCTAAGGATGGGTTTGATGAACAAACACTGGCCCCTTCCTTCCTCACAGAAGTACTGTGGCAAGAGAGAAGGAGCTACAGAGGCAGAACAGTGGTGTTACCTGGTTCTGATTGGTGCATCTGATCCCCTTCCCTCATGGCTAGCTTTCCTTTTCCATTTACAGCCATCGAGGAGCGAAAGGCTGTTTCACTTGACTGGGGCTTTGCCATTAACACGTATCAAACTGGAATTACCCGCTTGAAAATCTTCACAGAGGCCAGCACCTTAAAATCGGGCTCAGTGAGCTAAGACTGCTGAGCCAATGCTATCACAAAGGACAGTGGGTTGACATCAGCTTAACAAACGTGAGGTAGAGTGTATCAAACTACCTCACAGAGGTCTTGACATCATCCAAGCTGGCCAGTAGGCTGCACCCAGTGGCCACGTAACAGCCTATGGCTAGACATCAGCCAAACAAAGCAGAAGAAAGGGTTCAAGGGAGCTTCTCAACAGGGTTTGGATGATCTGCCTTAGAAGCCCAGCAACTCAGATCTGGCCACTTCAACATGCTAGAAGTACTAAACCTACAAACCTAGTATTAAACCTAGAAGTATTAAAACACAAGCAGGATGGGGAGTCCATTGACCTGTTTCCACTGTTGCTCCCCAGCTGCTATTCATTTGTACACTGTCTGTGGGCATGGAGGTTGACTAACAAATAATAATAATAATATTAATAATAATAATAATAATAGTGGCTAGTAGCAACTGAGAGCCTTATTCTCCATTAACTATCCTCCACTTTCAAAGCCATCTAATATATCCTTTCAGAAGAACACAAGAAGAGCTCTGCTGGATCAGGCCAAAGGCCCACCTAGTCCAACTTCCTATTCTCACTGATCAGATGCCTATGGGAAGGAAGGCTTGAGTGTACAGTGGTACCTCGCAAGACGAATGCCTCGCAAGACGGAAAACCCGCTAGACGAAAGGGTTTTCCGTTTTGGAGGCGCTTCGCAAGACGAATTTCCCTATGGGCTTGCTTCACAAGACGACAGCCCACAGGGAAATATCCGGGACAGCGGGGAAGCGCAGCGCGTCTCCCCACTGTCCTCGGACCTCCTCCGAAGCCTGGCGGCGGGGCGGGAACACCTCCTCCCGCCGCCGCCGGGCTTCGGAAGGCTCCTCCGAAGCCGGGCGGCGGGGCGGGAACACCTGCCCCCGCCGCCCGGCTTCGGAACGATGCTCCGAAGCTGGGCGGCGGGGAGGGAACACCTTCTGAAGGCGGGCGGGGGGCGAAAGTCTTTGTTCCCCCCTGCCTGCCTTCCCGGGAGAGCGGAGAAACACAGCGTGTTTCTCCGCTGTCCCGGACGGCTTTTGAAGGCAGGCAGGGGGGGAGCATAGACTTTCGCCCCCCGCCCGCCTTCAGAAGAGGTCCAGGACCTCTTCTGAAGGCTGGCGGGGGGCAAAAGTCTTTGTCCCCCCTGCCTGCCTTCCCAGGGGCTTTTAAATCGCCCTGGATAGCGGAGAAGTCCTCCGCTGTCCCGGGGCGATTTTAAAATGCCGCCCGCCAGCATTTTAAGATCGCCCCGGACAGCGGAGAAGTCCTCCGCTGTCCCGGGGTTTTTTAAAATGCTGGGGGTGGGAAGAAAAGCCCTTGTCCCCCCCCCCAGCCTTCAGAAGAGGTCCGGGGACAGACTGTCCCCGGACCTGGTCTGAAGGCGGTTTCCCTAGGAACGCATTAATTGATTTTCAATGCATTCCTATGGGAAACCGTGCATCGCAAGACGAAAAACTCGCAAGACGAAGAGACTTGCGGAACGAATTAATTTCGTCTTGCGAGGCACCACTGTAACAGCATTCTTTCCACCATGATTCACAGCAAGTAGCATACTGCCTCCTAGTACATAGTCATCGTAGCTAGTAGTCACTGGTAACCTTATCAGACGTAACATAGCCATATACCAGGGAGTAAGCCACCCTGGAATCAGTCTACTTCTGAGCAGATATGCATAGGATTGCATTGAGAGAGACTTTACCGAGACCATTCTGGAAGTCTCATCTGCCCCTACCCGTAATGACTGTAAGAAACATGTGTCTTCTATGAGCCACCACAGATGGTGAATAAGAGCCATTGCAGAGACAGTGCCACAGACAAAATGCTCATATCCACTTTCAAATTGCCTTAAAGTCCATCCTTCTTACTGGAGTGTTCACATTCTGCAGTGAGTCATCAAATGTTGCACATACAGATGTGAACTGGATCTTGAGATAGTTGCAAAAAGCAGATTCAAGACCCTGCCCTTTTTATAAATAAATAAATAAATAAATAAATTGTGGTTCGTCCATTTTCTCTTAATATATTGCCTCATCTCAGCTTCATGCGCACATCACTAAAGCTATTGTGTTATGTACAATGACTTGGGAGTAAGCATTACAGAATTCAGTTGGAATTACTTAGGAGTAAATAAGTACTGAACTGTGGTATCAGGAAAGAAAACCGTTACAACACTAAGCTAAAGGGCAAAAGACACACACATCATGTTGCATATATCGTTGGCCACATTCACACTTCACATTGAAAAGCACTATGATACCACTATAAACAATCATGGGTTTTCCCCGAAAGCATTCTGGAAGCTGTTGTTTGTTAAGAGTGCGAAGAATTGTTAGGTGACCCTTATTCCCCTCTCAGGGCAACAATTGTCAGAGTGGTTTAACAATCAATCCCTCTTCACAGAGAACTCTGGGCACTGTTGCTCTGAGTAGGGAACAAGAGTTTCCTAACAATTATCAGTACCCTTAATAAACTACAACTCCCAAATTTTTGGAGGGGGAAGCTTTGACTGTTTAAAGTGGCATTATAGTACATTAGATTAATGGTGTAAAACATGACTTAAGTCTTCCGGAGAACTCTGGCCTATAAACCGTTTAAATAAAATAATGCTGTGTTCTAGGTAGCAACACCAGTCATTTTATCCTAACTATCGCCCCAATCAGATGTATGGACACAATTGGACACTACAGCTTTTGGGTCCTTTCTGGAGATACAAGTCTACTGAAAATGACATATACTTACTTTCATCATTAGAAACATTCCCCAGAGATGTATGACTGGAATAACGTTTGTTTTCACTTTCACTGAGACATCTTTCAATCCAACTCTCTGCAAAACAACAAAGAAGGTTTTTTGTTTTTTTAAAAAAGACAGGATGTTTCCCATGAATGACAAGCCTTTTCTTTCATTATTATACAATAAATAATGTTATCAGTTACAAACCAAACAAGTGTATGTGTATCAATAGTTTGCTCCTCCCATTCTTTGCCATTTTTCTAGAAACTCATGGTACCAAAACTCACCATGAACACCTCCCATGTTCCCTTAAAATGGCAATAGCGCCAACCTGAGAGGTGCCGGGACTGAGTTCCAGTGAGTTCTGGTGAGGAAAAAAAGCCCTGGCTCTTCCTCTCTTTTCCAATATGGGCCACAAAAGGTGAAGTCCCTCCTCAGATTACAATGAGGAACTGAACAAAACTGTAGGACTAGGTGCCAGCATTTGTAACCTATGTAACTATCTTGAGTCACAAATTCCCTATTTTTACAGTTTGAAATGACACTGTTTATTTGTGCAGATAATAAATACTTGTCACTCAGCAGAAAGATTAATCATTTTTTGCCCTCTTAGAACCTGATATTACTGGATCACCTTTTCTACTTATTTGAGATATACCAAATGCTATTATACCGATGTTCAAGAGGGGTGCCATGCAAATTCTCTTAAGGAAAATCTCTGGTGTATATTTCACTTGGTGTATATATTTTAAAACACAGATACTCCAGCACATGCCATTATTGGTATAAAACCACTTGCAACTAACCCTTATCAGGGAGTTGTCAGAACTGTTAGGTTACTTAAAAGTTTCCACTTGGTAATATATGAACCAACATTACTAGAAGGGTCTAAAAATAGAAAATTTCTATATTTCTCTCTGGAAATTGTTACAGTGCTTCAATATTAGCCTGCAAGTTAGAATCTGACAGGCACATGGTTCAAATCAAGACACCGTATTATTAGAAAGTCTGAAAATGGGATCTAACACTCCAGACATGACACTTACAAGTTTACCTCATAACAGAAGCCTGTGTTCCACCTCAGAAAAGGGAACAAGCTACACGCATGGGATAAAATGTTGGGCAGTGGGAAACTCCATCCCCCACCTCCATCTTTAATTAGGCTTATATGGGTAAATTGGGGGTGGCATGTCTCACAAACAGCCAGCCAGGAAGCACATGTTTTGCATGCAGACAGTTCCATGTTCAATCCTTGGTAGCCGCAGGCAGGACTGGAAATGTCCTCTGCTTAATGTCCCAGAAAACTGCTGCCGCAGTCAGTGTGGGCAGTACTGAACTCGATGGACCCAGTTGTCTAACTCAGCCTAAGGCAGTTCCCAACACGTGCCTATGCTTGCAAAATGCAAGCTTTGTTTACCCATTTTCAGCCTCAATCCATCACTGACAGGAGATAGCAAAGTGGCTGGGCAAGTTTCCAAAACAGACAGGAGGAAGCAAGAAACACAGACACTAGTAAATGAAAAAATTACTATCTTCAATACAAAGGCATGACATCCGGTCTACTTCCGCTCACCTCGTTGCAGGAGGGTTGCATTCTCATTAAAACCATCCAGTTAAAAAAAAAGGGGGGGGGAGATAGCTCACTCACACATGTACACACACTCTCTCTCACAAGATTGTGTACATGCATGTACATACACACACACACACACACACACACTTCTGCGCACACACAGAGTTACATGACTAGGCAAAACTAAGGGCCAGTTCACCTTCATCATTAGAACATAAGCACTGCTTTGCTAGACCAGCCCAAGGTTAGAGAGTCCATCATTCCAGCCAGTCAGACACCTCTAGGCAGTTTGTAGGCAGGGCATGATAGTAATGGCTATTCCCAGTTATTTACTCCCAGCACCTGGCATTTAGGAGTACATTGCTTCCAGTCCTGGACTGCTGCTATGGGGCTGCAATCCTATTTAGCTACCATGACTAGCAGCTACTCTAGGTCTATTCTCTTCAAGAATCTGTTTGATCCTCTTTCAAACTGCCCATACCAGGGATTTGGAGAAACCATAGTTCCTAGTACAACAATAGTATAAGGGAGTTTCTTTTTAAGGGAGGGATTGTCACTCAGTAGGAGAGCACAAGCTTTGACTGGGGAGGGTTGCAACCACTAGTCTCCCCAGTTAAAAGGTACCGTAGAAGCAGGTGAAAGGGGGATCCTGTTTGAGCAGAGGGTACTGGGCTAAACGGACATACAGGCTGACTAATCAATGGATCCACTTTGGAGCAAACCGAAGCAACACCAAAAACACCTTGATACAAAGCAGATGATCACTAATAAAGCTGGCATGCACTCCCATGGCCAGGGCCACAGTGGGCCCCAACATTTGTCTCAATGTGCTGCATGCTGACATTGGGCCTGATGGTGGTCGCTGGTGCCAGTTACCAACATCCCTTTAAATTTTTAAAATATGTTTTCGGGTGGCCAGCACTGTGAAGAGAAGCACTGGGCAAAGCAGCTGCATCTGAAGCTGCCACCATTTCGCCAGTATGCTTCTGGGCTCTGATGCAGGTCATTTTGGACAGGGGCAAGGTAGGATGGAGCTCCCCTTGGATCTGGTCCACTTTGAGCAGCTGCTGGAGTAGTAAGTTCTTAGCTTCGTTTGGTTTGTATCTAGCCTGACTTGTAACCATAAGCAGCTCCACAGTGAGCTGTCTATGGTCCTGACCACCTGTGACCTTCTGCTGTCCTTGGCTAGTACACTTCTGCAGGCTCCAGCCTGGAATGGGACGTACCCCATTCCTATGCATACTTAGTGATGTCAGTGGGATTTAGCCGAGAGAAGTACGCACATGTCATTCAACATCAAGGTGCAGTTATCTAGCCTGGGTGGTGGAAAGATATGAACAACACTCCATTCTAACTGAAGACTGCTTTTTTGGCTTTATTACAAGCCATAGTAAATTGCCGATGAAGTGACATGAACAAGATGCTTTATCATTTTTGAAAATACAGCCTTTTCAAAGGGCAAAACTCAACCTGAGAATCAGCAGAGCAAGTTTGTCTTTTTTTTTTTATTGTATACGACTTTGTCTATCACCTAGGCAATCAAATGGAAGATCTCCCCCCTTTCCAAGTATACAGCCTAGAAGGCCATGGCTGCCCATTTGCTTTTGACCACCTCTAAATTTCTGCCATGTCTGGTCTAACTATACTATCCTCCAAAAGATGGAAGGCTTCATCAGCTGGTTCCATCCAAAGGCCATGGATTGACGTTGCAAAAAGTTCAATTTCCCCTAGAATTCATAGCTTAGGTTCCCTCCCTCTACTACAAAAACTCCTTTTTATGATATTGATGAGCAGCAGTACCATATCCAATATGGTACTGGGACAAGAGCCCCAGTAAAGACCGAATGGACAGCTGCAGAGCTTAACACTGCACCTGATGAACTTCTCTCAGGGCATGGTGACAATGTCACATAGGAAGTCTCAGTCTCATATATGAAACCAACATATTCTTCCTTGGGTTCTAGCTCTGTTGCCTCTTCTTTCCTTCCCCCCAGCCAGCACATTATTCACTCTTCCACCCCCTGCTAATTATTGTCATGGTTGCCAAGGCTACAGGGTTAACTGCCACCTGTTAACTTCTTCTGTACACTGCCATGTTACGTTACATTACATTACGGAGCAGCACTCCAAATTTGGTTAAAGGCACAGGATTCCTCCACAGGCAAAATAGATCAACTCTTTTAAGGAAGCAGGAACAGTCCCAGAATGTTATTGTGAATGGGCTGGGTGCACACACTATTTGTCACTGTCAGTAAACAAGGCCAAGGGGTTCGCTAGAGGTTCATGTGGTCTTTCTTTTCTCTGATGTGCGCATTACGCAGATCCTGGTTACAAAGCCAACTGGCACCATGGTTGCATGGGGACATAATTCAGACAAAGGCCACATTCAAACCATCCATTTAAAGAAGTATCATATCACTTTAAACAGTGATGTCTTCCCTCAAAGAATCCTGGGAGCTGTGGTTTGTTTAGGGTGCTGAGAATTGTTAGGAGACACTTATTCTCCTCAGAGAGGTACAATTCCCAGAGTTCCCTGTGAAAAAGGATTAATTGTTATACAGTGGAACCTCGGTTGTTGAACGTAATCAACTCTGGAAGACTGTTAAACTTTCAAAACGTTCCAACAACCGAGGCGCAATTGCCAGTCAGTAAAATCCATTGAAAAAATGGAGAAATGTGCCTCAGAAGCCATTCGAATTCTGAGATGCATTCAAAAACAGAAGCATTCACTTCCAGGTTGTTGGCATTCGAAAGCCAAAACATTCGACATCCGAAGTGTTCGACAACCGAGGTTCCACTGTACCACTCTGGGAACTGTAATTCTCTGAGGGAAATAGGGGTCTCTCAGCATCCTTAACAAGCCACAGTTCTCAGGAGTCCTAGAAGAAGTTAGCAGGTCCCTGTAAATTCTACAGCAGCAGTGGGGAACCTCAGGCCCAAGAGCTGAATCTCCATGTCACACCCTGTTCCAGTACATGCTCTCTTTCCCCAAACTACACCAAAGCCTCCTGGTGCTTCTTGCCTGGGTGGAAGATGCAAAGACGTGTGTACAGTGTGGATGTCTGCAGAAGACTTTGACCTTTGTGTAGCTGAAATGTTGCTTACCATTCAAAGGTAAGAGCCACATAAATTTCACCACCCAGTTTTTGTCCCTGGCCTGTTCATCACTGGTATGCAGCCCCCAGGCGGCTTCCCAAGAAGGAATGAGGCCCTCAGACTGGAAAAAAACCCCATCCTGTTCTACAGAAATCAGTACAGCTCAGGCTGCCTGAGGCAACTGGCTGCATTCAGCACCCTGATGTGCCTTCTCATCATGCAGCACCACAAAACATTCCTGGCAGTGGCTTGGAGGTAGCAAGAAGTTCACTACTCCAGTAGTCAATGTGCACAACGAGCCGTTGCACACAAAAGGGTCATGATACGAAGCACCAACCACATAGGTGCTGTTCATAAGAAGAGCTTGCAGGATCAGGATGGGCCAATGGCCCATCTAATCAAGCTCCCCTCACCCACCATTCTC